AGGGCTTGTCTCTTGGATTTTTCCTCACTTGATACAGTAAATTTAGCTGTGACGGCCCCACCTGATGACGGAGACTTGTGTTGCCTCCGAAACGTCGTGATTTATTATTTTAGTTCTATTATTATTTCTATTATTTTTATTATAATTTTTTTTTACCTACGTGACTTTACCGAAAAAACCTAAGAGTATGCATGCATAATGTACGTTGATTACCATATGAATAACCCTACCGGCAATGTATTCCCATTGCAATTTATATGCATTAACTAATTCCCCTCTTCGCACGTGAAGGTCTCATAAGTGACATTATCATCTTGACTTAAAGCTTTTGTGACTGCAGGAATTCATATTCTTTGGTTCTTTCGGTAAAGTCACGATGATAGGTTCAAAGAGGCGAACCCCCTTTTCCTGATGACGACCGCTTGTGTTGCGATCAAAACGTCGTAGTTTTTTTTCTTTGAACCTATCTACGTGACTTTACCGAAGGATCCAAAGAATATGACATTATCATATTTATCCTTCTAATTAAGGAACTTAACAGGAAGTTTTGTCCACAAATCTGACTGTCCGCCTAATGGCGAAACGTCGTACTCGGATTGTAAATATTGTGGATTTTCTCTCCCAACACACCGCTGTGCTGTTCTAGTAACGAATTGGCACGTTCTGTTTACGTGACAAACCTTACCAAATGGCTGTGTCGGGTGGTGGCGGGTCTAACGACACATTTATATCTAACCCAAAAACACCTCTTATGGATGGTACTGGTCGCGAACGCCGACCACGCGTTAAACAGAGTGAGAGTGGAAGCGATGGGGGAGGGAGGAGGAGGGGTGGCGGGGAGGGGGTGATGCGCGCGTGCGAGCACCGCCGAGCTTGGCCATGTCGAGCGCCACCGCCACGGCGCGCTCCACGCCGTGGTCCACCAAGCCGCGCGTCTCCCGCAGCGCGGCGGACGCGCTCTCGGACATTCGCTGCGCCGCGGTGGCGCGTCGAGGGGCCATGGCGGAGGAGCGTCTCTTCCTCCTCCGACTGACGCTGCTGCTCTTGCGCCTGCGATTGATTGATGCAATAAGATTTGAAGCTTTCGTGACTGCAAGGATTCATACTCTTAGGTTTTTTCGGTAAAGTCACGGTAAAATGGTTAAAAAATTACCTCTTTTCTCACACCCAAACTGTATTCACAGATGGTTGGAGGTCAAACAGTGTTAAGATAACAAAAGGGGTTCCACAGGGTTCCATTCTCGGCCCCTCTTGTTCTCTCTTTATGTAAATGACTTGGGCACTGAACTGGATTATTCCAGGGTAAATCTCTTTGCAGATGACACGGTACTGATTACTGCTGGCCGCTCTCCGGATGACGTGATTGCTAAGCTCCAGAGTGATTTCAACAAACTACAACATCAGCTAGTTGCTCTTAAACTAGTCCTAAATCCTGCCAAAACCAAGGTGCTATGCTTCTCACCAGGACTAAAGCGGGAAGTTATTTTCCCCCAATTACATTCCTTAAATAATGATCAAATAGAGCAAGTCAAGATCTATAAGTATCTTGGGGTCATCCTGGATTCAAAACTGAATTTTGAAGGTCACATTGATTATATTGGGAAAAAGGCAAAAATTAAAATTGGTTTTCTATATCAACACAAGCACTGCTTCCCCCCTATGTTCCGTTTGGATTTGATAAAAGCTACCATACTGCCTCTACTTGATTACTGTGACATCGTGTATAAATCAGCCCCAAGTACTGTACTGAAGAAGCTTGACTCAATGTATCACTCGGCCTTAAGATTTGCATTGAACTGCCCATATAGGACTCACCACTGTGATCTCACATTGGGTCAAACTTAACATCTCTGAATGTTCGATGGCTTGTGCACCAGATCTTATTTATTCATGATGTACTTACAAAAACATCCGCAGATTACCTGCTGGATCTCCTCTCTGTTTCAAAGAACAAATTTGACCTAAGGTCTACACTCATTTACCAGCTTCACATTCCCTATTGCCGTACAAATACTGGAGGAAGGGCCTTTGCTATTGATTCCCCCAGGGTCTGGAATGCTGTTGCAAATAAATTGAAACTTGAGTCACTACCTATGAGATCTTCACTCAAAACTGCTCTAGAGGAGTTGTACACCCCTAGCTGCCAGTGCTATTCAGTGGTCTAAAATAAAATGTTTCGCTCCGGATGATCGCTACAAAGTACGACCTGTGTTTTGATTTAGTGTGCTGATCTTAAAGGTGCATTGAAAAATTATAATACTCCGATCGATGCTCCTGCTGTTGTGGAGTGACTCATGCAGCCAGCTATGGCTGCAGGGCTTTGGTAGTACATGTTGTTTATGCCATTTATTGTAAAAATTCCGTCACAGTTCCTATGATCACTGTTTCATTGCTTTCATGGCTTTATTTTGGTGATTTCGAAAAGTGTATTGGTTTAGCCATGTTTGTTTGTTGTAGTACAGAGTTAGACTGATGGCCTTAATCTAAGTTGTCTTATGGTTGTTGTTGGTTGTTTGACTTGCATCCCACTGGGATTTTGCACACAGCGTTGGTGTACGGTGTTTTTTCTGCAATATTTTGCCGTCTATTCTTGGATTTTCTGTTTGCACTCAGTCACATATTCACTTTAAGATGTTTTTTGTTCATGTTTTTGTTTGTTGCGGTTGCACCCGATTCAAGAGCCGAATGGCTCACAGGGCTATACCTAATACATGAACTTGAAGGGGAAATAATTAAATAAATAATAGAAATAATAATAGAAATAAAATAATAAATCACGACGTTTCGGAGGCAACACAAGTCTCCGTCATCAGGTGGAGCCGTCACGGCTAGATTTACTGTCTCAAGTGAGGAAAAAAATCCAAGAGACAAGCTCTTATATACTAGTTAAGGGGGAGGGCCTTATCTGAATGTGGACTTTACCGATAAAACCTAAGAGTATAATGCAATAAGAGGCCATTTTACACTTCTTGTACCATGTGCGCGTTTAAAACAAATTGTTTGAGTAAGATTGCAATGCAATTTTGTATTGCGATGTTGAGAAATGTTGCAAAGTTCTATCGTAATGAATGCAAATTGCTCCAGGATATTATGAATGGTGCACAGGGCTTCGTCGCTGCAGTGGAAATGAATACAAGTCAATGTTGTCGTCAGTCTTGTCGTGTACAGGAGTTATGTTATACGTGGAAAGTTTTAGTACCGTTATGGATGTTGTGCAAGTGAATCGATTCTAAAGATAGTCTTGCAATTCCGTGATAGAATTAAAGGTGTCGTACACAAAAGACACTCAACACATTCGTCAATAACACTGGCCATGAAACGGGAAAATATATATTACAGGCGACGTTTCGGACAATGCCCCTCTTTGAGGAATAGCGCATATCCAGGACCATGGCCAGACGCGTCGCGTGTTACATGTTCCCGCCGCCGCCGCACGTGGCAGTGTCACTGAGGAACACATAAAAAACTGCTGGAACGAAGACGAAGCCGAGAGCGGCGCCACTTGCCCGAGTGGTGAAGCAGCCGAGGCGGCCGCGGGTTTCCCGCCACGAATCGTCGCCTGCAGTCGCCTGCCGCGTTGATGACCTCACATCCGGTATGGCGCGGGAGGGGCGGGGCAATAGAAGCCACGCCCATCACGATTGCCACGCCTTTACAGGCCTAGACCAATCAGCGTGTCGCACAACTGAGCTACGCCCAGTAGCCGGGTCTCGTCCAATCAGTGACTCGCGGCTCGTTAGCCCCGCCTATCGCGAGCTCCTCCCACTATAAAGGCCAGCCTCGCGGGCTGCCCCCTCGCTTTCGGCGCGGAATCTGCGCTGCGTGGCGCGCCGGAACGCTCCGCGTGTTTGATGGTTGCAGGAGTTGTGTCGCCTGTTAGTGTTGCTTATGTTTGTGCCACTGTTGTGGTCGTTGTCACCGCCGCAATGGAGAACCGTGACAGGAGGGTGCGACTCGTGGTGAAGCTGCAGGTAGTGCTACCCCTTTTCACCTAAACACCTGCCGAGCTCAGCAGACTTGAGCCTGGATCGCGTCTGCGATGGTGCTACGAGCTCGGCTGAGATGGGACAGGGCGTGGGCGCGAGGGCTACGCGCCTGGCAGCAGCAGAGTGCACTGCGGGAAAAAAACCTATCGTACTGTACACCAAACACGCACTTACCAGCGTGGTGAAGTATGGTCACATGACTCCCTGCTCTCCCAACAACCGCCACGTGGGTGTATGGGGGACATCTGTGTAAGGCTATGGACATGTTTTCCTCTCTTTATGCGGGCTCCGTTTGCCCCATTTCGCGGCTAACATTTATAACAAAAACAAATTCGCTATATGCGGTTTGAATTCACTCGCGCAGCCGCCGGACGTGGGGACAGCGCTCTGTGTGCACTGTACGCGCCCCGAGCGGGCAGCTGGAGCGGTGCATTGTGGGTTGGGTGACTGTACGCGTCGTCTCGTGCTGCTGCTGCCCCCCCCCCCCCGGGTCCCCTCGCTTTATGCGGGTTCCGCTCGTGCGATTTGTTTGTACATGCGGCGAACATTTTCTTGTACCCAACATGTGATTTATGCGGTTTGAATTCACTTCGCGGGAGTGAGACGAGACCTCTGCTGCTGCTGTGTGTGTGGGTGGGTGGCGGTGTGCGGCAGGCAGCGGTGTGTGGGTGGCGGTGTGGGTGGCGGTGTGTGTGGGTGGCGGTGTGCGGCAGGCAGCGGTGTGTGGGTGGCGGTGTGGGTGGCGGTGTGTGGGTGGGTGGCGGTGTGTGTGGGTGGCGGTGTGCGGCAGGCAGCGGTGTGTGGGTGGCGGTGTGGGTGGCGGTGTGTGGGTGGGTGGCGGTGTGTGTGCGGCGGTGTGGCTGGCGGTGTGTGGGTGGGTGGCGGTGTGTGTGCGGCGGTGTGGGTGGCGGTGTGCGGCAGGCAGCGGTCTCCTGCCGCCTCGATCTGTGCGCCATTTTCTTGCAACGCAACTACCGCATAAAGCGAGGGGGAAACTGCACTCTCGTAGTGATTGCGCACACTTATCTATGCCAGTGTCGGTCTTGTTATGGCTGCTAAACGGCCTACGAGCTCTCTGCCTGGAGCAGCAATGAAGCGGAAAAGGACCGCGTTGACGCTTGAAGTGAAGTTGGAGATTTTGCGGCGCGCGGAGGCCGGCGAGGGACCGGCCGCGCTCGGTCGTGCGTTCAGCCTGGGCGAGTCGACCATACGCGCCATCAATAAGAATTCCGCCAAAATCAGGAGCTCTGTGATGCATTCTACACCGCTGTCTGCCAAGAAGACGACCAGAGTAAGAAATCCATTGTTGGAGAAGATGGAGAAGATGTTGGTGGTGTGGGTGGAAGACCAGTACCAGAAGAAAATTCACATTTCCTCTTCCGCGACGCGCGCCAAGGCCATGCAGCTGTACGAGCGCCTGCAGCACGAGCAGGAAGGTGGCTCGCAAGAGTCGTTCTTGGCGAGTAAGGGCTGGTTCGACAAGTTTATTAATCGGCAAAATTTGCACAGTATCAAAGTCACCGGGGAATCTGCAAGTGCAGATCGTGAAGCTGCTGCGAAGTTTCCCGAGGAGCTGCACGCCATCGCGGCTGCTGGAGGCTACAGTCCAAAGCAAGTGTTTAATGCCAACGAAACCGGGCTTTTCTGGAAACGCATGCCACCTCGGACCTACTTACACAAAGAAGATGAGGGTACACCCGGTTTAAAATCCTCAAAGGACAGGCTGACTCTCCTGTTATGCGGCAATGCTGCGGGAGATTTCAAGTGCAAGCCGCTGCTGGTCAATCGCTCCCTCAACCCGCGTGCATTGAAAGGGCTGAGCAGAAACACGTTGCCGGTACACTGGACTGCAAACAAGATGGCATGGATGACGGGACAAATTCTGGAGGACTGGTTCACTCAACACTTTTTGGTGGAGACGGAGCGGTATTGCAGGAAGGAGAATCTTGCTTTTAAAGTGTTGCTCATCCTTGACGATGCGCCGGGTTACCCGAAACACCTGGCAAGCATCAACCCCAATGTGAGGGTCTTGTTACTTCCCCCCAACACGGCGTCGCTGCTCCAGCCTCTGGATCAGGGGGGGGTTGTATGCACGTTTAAGGCCTACTACTTGAGGCGGACCATCTCCCAACTGCTCGAGGGTACTGACGGGCCCGACAAGCCTACAGTTCGTGACTGCTGGAAGGCTTACAATATTAGGGATGCCATAAACAATATTAAATCATCATGGGATGAAGTGAAGCAATCTACCATGAATTGTGCTTGGAATGCCATTTGGAAAGAGTGTGTGATTTACTTCAAGGGCTTCCCCGAAATGTCAAGAGCTGTGCAAGATGTTGTCGACCTTGGACGGGAGTTAGGAGGGGAAGGCTTCGCTGACATGCGGGAAGAAGATGTCTTGGAACTCCTCGATTCCTACAATGAGGAATTGACTGTTGATGACTTGATGTCAATGGCAGCGGCTGATGAAGAAGAGGAGCAAGAGGTGGTCCTCAATGTCAAGGACATGACTTCGAAGAGGTTGACATACTTTTTATCTCAGGCTGATGCTCTTGCTCAAACTGCCATGGATATGGACCCTAGCCTAGAGAGGAGCCTACAGTTCAAACGTGCTTTGAACTCTATAATTGCTCCATACAAGGAGGTGTATGCACAGAAACAGCGAGCCAAGCAGTGCACCATGTTTCAGTTCTTAAGGCTACGCTTTGCCACCCCTTCCACCTCTGCCATCGATCCTGCTGGCCCTTCCACCTCTGCCATCGATACTGCACCAACCTGCAGCACCTCCACCGCCTCTCCATTGCTGCTGGCTGGTGATGACGGCCTCATTCATGTGAATTCGCCGCTGGATATCACCCTGCCTGTGGATGTCGAGTCTGACCCAGACGACCCTGGCACCATCTAGACTACCAAGCACGCCCACCACCACTTGTGCTTGCATATTTACTTGTGTTGGTGAGTACACTAGCGTCTCACTCTCAATCTGTATACTCGAGTGAGCATTCGAATTGTTTTCAATTGTATTTATTTTTCTAACTGTAATGTATTGTGCTCTCTTGGGTGTTTATTGTTTGCATTTCCTGCTTAACATTTATCGAGTGGTAAAAGTGCGCATTGGTAGGGTTGCATTAGAGGTTGTGGAACATGTCTAAATGTAGCTTCGTTTTACGCTTTTTGCATCTTGTTTTGGAATGCATCTACCGCATAAAGCGAAGGGAAACCTATATCTCTTGAGACTGGGTCTCGGTAAAAGTCGAGTAGACTGAGTATTTGTTCTCCTGCCCCAATGTCCCCCAGGCTGCTGCCCGGGGTTTCTTGCTGCGGGCGCGCCTGCGTGCACTACGAGGGGACTATGAGCGCGTGGTGAGCGAGGTGCAAGGCGGCCTGGCTGGGCTCAGCTGGGTCGAGGGCCTCGTGGCCCGGCCCCAGTTCCGTAGTGGAGACGCAGATCCAGCAGCGCCACACGCGGTCAGACTCTCTCATCAACCCATGTACACATGCGCACACACTTTCCCAGTTACTCATTCAACAAGTTTCCCACCAAGCCATTCGTTCGTGCACCGTTATCCATTCACTCCACTCGGTAACTTAGTAACCCGCACGGTGACTTGCCCGACTCATTGCCACATGCATTCCCTCGCTCGCCCGCTCATCCACTTGCCCACACATCTGTCTACTCGTTTGCTCGCAACGCACGTGTCATCACCGATCGGTGTTGCCCCTGACTCGTGCAGCCTGGAGATGTCCCGGAGCGTGACGCCACCCGGCTCCCGAGAGGTCACAAAGTGGAGAATGCAGACCTGGAGCTTGGGGAGGGAGCCCAGGGGATGGAGCCCCAAGCCCAAGGAAGCCCCCTGCTCACGCCGAGGGGCCCCGAGGAGGAGCCTCCGGGCACGGGGGATCCAGGTCGGCCAGGAATGGAAAGTCTTAAGGCTAAACCTGACTTTTGGCTGGTAACACATTACACAGCAGTCACTGCAAGAGTGGCCATGCAGTGATATAATTTACTGAACTCTATGAATGTTATTGCCAGTTTGCCCCCTTTAGCAGCTCAAACGTGTGGCCAAGATGCTTTGATGGGTATTTATCTTTGAAAGGCCACCGCTTGAGTGGCAGGCTGTACCAAATGAAGTCATGTGCTGCATCTGGGCTGTGGTCCATAAGTTCACCGAGTTGCGTGTTTCTTGAGCCATGAGGTGATGGTGATGACGGCGGGACATGGGCTCAGGGCAGCTAAGTGTGTCCATGTGATTTGGACAGCAGGTGCTGCCCCTGGGTCGGAAGGGCTCCCTCTTCTCCAGAAACCTCCACCAGTGGAGGTCAACATGTTGGGGGAGCCCCCCTCACTGGAGCCCACGTCCTTAGAGAATCTGCAAGAACTTCGATCCAGCTTGGCCATGGAGCTACTCTGGTTGCAGCAAGCAATCGCCAGCCGCAAGAACGTGAGTCGTGTGGTCTCATTCCTACCTGGCCATTCTAACCCCACACGCGATCTCACGTCGCAATCAATCTCTACAAACCCCAGACTCTCGCTCCACGTTACCGCTTGTCACCACACCTCTCATTTCTCCACAACCTTTTGCCAGCACACAACTCCAAACTCATCTAACCCTGTGCCACCCTTGTAGTACCTGACCTTGCGGGGTCACGTGGCACGGCCCAGGTGATTCGTGTGGATCCTCTTGCAGAAGTTGCCCTTCACACCACCACGCCTCGTCCTCTACAGTGGAACTTGTCATGTCGGATGTGGTGGGAGGCACTGCAGCAAAATCCCCACCGTGGTGAAGTATGGTGGAATAACCCTCATTACCAACAGGGCACGAGAAGGCTATTATCTAGGTTGAAAAAAGTACTAAATTATTATTTTTGTCAATTTGTTGTAAATACGTGTTTACATGCAACACTTGTTTGAGCTGTCTTGGATCAAATAAAAACATGTGAGCTTTGTAAATGAACTGACTTTAGGAATGCTCTATTGATGGTGTTGGAATGACATCACTGCATTCTCAGGGGGTGACAGCCTACAAATGCTGTGGGTCTCCTTGCTGGGTTCCGTCGCAGTACAAGGGAAGCTGGAAATTACAAAACAGTTTTATTTCAAAATGACATTCAAGGTAGTTGGGCTAAACTGGGTAGCCCCACTTGGGAAAGTCACAGCGGGGCAGGGGTCATGAGGAGACAAACGAAGGACCACTTGTGTACATCACTAGAAGCGGAGGGATGGAGCGACCTACACCACTGCATTCAGAAGCAGTCATCCTCTGGCGTTGCTGTGCCTGGTGGTGGTGACAAGCGCCGGTGTTGAGCTATGGCTGGTGCCCCCACTCTCAAAACGTGTTCTTGATGCTGGAGGCGACCTGCGCCAAGATCTCGCCGGTTTTCTTGCGCCAGTGCAGGATGTCTTTCGATACTGCGCACCACAGCTCGCCGTGCCGTGGCTCTGCATTCTCGCACCGCTTGCGCACATCCTCCTGTTGCTCCTGCAATAGCGAGAGATGTAGAAATAACTTCAAGACAAACCACACTGTAGTAACCACAACCCGCACCATGTGGGCCCCATAGGAGACAGCATGCACGGTGTGAGCACCTGCACCCCTCACCTTGCTCCCGTGCTGCAGCTCAAACTTGTAGAAGACTGCCCAGGCATCACCCAGGTCGGGGTCGATCTTCACCGTCCGATGGAACCACTCGCGAGCTTTGGAGATCTTCCGCTCACTCCAGAACAGCCTAGGGCAGGGAGCGGCAGGTGGGGGTGTCTGTTATCCTCCACCTGTGGCCTCGAGCTCATTCACAGGTGTGCACTAGACAGCGTCACGGGTAGAGACGTTCCTTAGCCTCACAAACCGCACCACTACGACCTCTACCGCTACTGCCATTAACATCACTGCACCCTATCAAACCCCCTCATCACCAGCACCCCTACCACCATCGTCTGTCATTCCCATCGTCGGACCTTTAAAATCACTGCACCACCAGCACTCCAATCGCCAGTACCAACACTGTTCTTACTGCCATCATCACTTGCACCCCACACTCACCACACCGTCGCCACACTACTCACTTGGCGACTGCGAGCAGCACATGGGGGTCGTGCTCGCACTTCTTGAGGGCGTCCACGCTCTTTGTCTTGCGCTGTGGCCGTGCCTCCAGGAAAATCGCTTCAGCCCAGAGGATTCCTGATGGGGGACAAGGAGACATGAGATGGGAACACAGGGACTCGAGAGCACAGGCATAAGAACACAGATGGGGGGGACAGGTCTCTGTCACACATGGACAAGGAGCGATGAGGACACATTCACAGAGAGACACGGAGAGACACATGGGGACGTGGCCACAGGCAGCACCAGCCCCCCCCCCATGTGACACCCACCCGAGCTGGGGCACTCCTGCATGGCCTTGGCCATGAGTGTGCTGGCAATGTTCTTCAGTCCCGCGCGGTACTCGAGCCGGACAGACTCCAGCCTGGCACAGACATGGAAAGGGGGCATTATTACAGGGGTATGGTGAGAAAGACAGTTATAGGGCCACATAGGGTATGAGTTGAGTTAGAGGAGCATAGAGGGTAAGAGTATGACTAGGGTCACGGTGATATAAGTAGGGGTATGATTACATGGACAGGGAGGATATGGATTGAGGTCTGCAATGTGCATTGTTGTGGTGGGAAAGCCGTGGATAGCGATCGATGGTGCCAGAGGTCAGGGTTCAGCAGGCGCTTGAGCCAATAGGTGTCATACATTCTCACAAAAAACCCCTTGCATAGCCTTAACAGGGTGTTGGGGCAAGTGCGAGCAGCTATGAAGGCCGGCACCATGCTTGGCCACCTTTGTCTCCCCAGTGGTGATGTTTACACAACACACCAGGTACTCATTGGAGGCTGAGTCGACTTAGGGGAGGCCCAGGACTAATTCAGATAATCGTCACTGGTGTTGGCCGTGAGCAGGATTCAAACTCGGGTAGCCCGGTTCGTAGTGGATCGTGTTAACAGCTGCACTACTGCTCCCCAAAGTGTCACAGTATCACACAGAGATTTTCACACAGGTGTCAGCGTACCACAGCTCGGGATTCTGTGGGTTCTTGAGCCGTGCCTTCTCCAGGATGGCGCGCGCTCGCGTCAGCTGCCCCACGTGCTCCTCCAGCCGCGACAGCAGCAGCCACAGCGCTACCGAGTGGGGGCACTTCTTGAGCTGCGTGGACAGGGGCGACATGCGCGCTCAACTAGCTCCCCGGGCGCACTGTGGGTGCATGCACAGCTGTCTGTGTTTCCGTGTCCATGTTTAAGTGCCTGTGATCGTATGTGTCATTGTGCATGCAAGGTTGTGTGTCTGCTCATGTGAGTGCATATGCTTGTGCGAATAGGTGTGTCCTTGTGTGTGCATCTGTGTGCCTATGCAACCACGTGTGTGTGTGTGCCTGTACACACCCCCTGGCTGTAGGCATCGCGAGCCTTGTCGTTGAGCTGCAGCTGCTCCTCAATCTGCCCCTTCATCATCCACAGCTTGGGGAAATCCTCATAGTGGCGCAACGCCTCCTCAGACAGCTCCTTCGCTCGTGGGATCTCGCCCAGAACCCACTCCAGCTTCACCGATTTCATGAACACCTAAACGTCCGTGATGTCACACAGCGTCGCACCACAAAAGAAAGTGTCACATAGCACAACGTTGAGTGTTACACAGGCGAGTATAACATGGTGCCCAGCATACAACACAGTGTCACACAAGGTCAAGAGGTCCATACAGTCAATGCTGCCGATACTGAGATGCTATGACCCCTGTGTTATAGGCTGGAGTCAGGCTAGCGTTGGACCGGTGTTGGACGAGCTGGGATCGGGTCAGGCCAGGGTGGGGTTTGTGGGGGCGAGTTGGTTAGGAGCGTACCCGGGCAGTAGGAGCGCTACTCCGAGCCTTGGCGAGCAGTCGTCGCGCTCGCTCATCCTCATTGTTCTCAGACTCAAGCTTCACGGCAGCCAGCCAGATCTCCTCACTGTTGGGGTTTGCCTGAGGGACAACCGCAAATCACCGATTAACCACCGCTCAGACACGCAGCCATCGGCGAGTGCTCAGCCGCCACACGCTGTGAGCGTGTGTTTGCGAGCGATGTTGGCTTTGTGGTCGGGTGCACTGGGTGAGCACCTGGAAGGCAAGCGCCAGGATGCTGCGGGCTGCGGGGACGTCTCCGGCCATCCACTTGGATTTGGCGCCCATGAGCCATAGGACCTCGGCCTTGGGGCAGTGAGCGACGGCGCGCTGCAGTAGGGCCTCCAGAGACTCCCTGCACAGCCAGGCCGCCACGGGGTCACGGGGCAGGAGGAGAGGTACGGGTTAGCTTGAAGTATGATGTGCTGGCCACTGTCGTTTTACGCTTCAGGTACAGCAAGTGATGGCGTGAGTTACCGTTTTGGTTATTCAGCCTAGAGTTGCGACGGGATAACGAGATGGTTACGGTCATGATCGGGATATAGTTATGGTTTGGGGTTCAGACTGGAGTTCGTGTTAAGACTGTAGAGAGGGTCGGTATTGAGGCTCTCGGGCTAGAGGTTGGAGTTAGTGTTCAAGTTTGAGTAATATGAAGGGGCAGTGTTGTCACACTCGGGATATATTTTGGGGTCCGGGCGTTGACCGTGGGCGACCCTCTGCTCCCTCACCGGGTGCCGTGGTTCTTCTCGAAGTAGGCGGCTCGCAGCCACACACTTTTCTTGCTGGGGAACACCTGCAGCGCGAACGCGTAGATGGCCCGTGCGCACTCACACGCCCCGTGTGACACACACTAAGGGGCACGCGCACACAGTGGCATGCTGGTCAGAGGTGTGCACGTGTGTGCACGGTGTGTGGTGTGAAGTGTGCACGGCAAATGTGGTATGTTCAGTGAGTGGTGTATGCCGTTTGTACAGTGCATACGATGTGTGCGGAGTGTGGCGAGTGCGGTGTGTGTCCTGCGGTTCTCACGCTGTCCGCATCCTCCATCCACGTGTGTTTGCGATCCTCCTCCTCCACTCCAATGCCGATGACGGCTCGGATCACCGCTTGGCACGTGGTCACGCTGCCGGCCTTATCGCACTCCTCCGCATCCTGCATCGCCATATGCCGCCGGCACGTACACGAGCAGCCGCAGTTAAACACGCACACAAGGCACAACAGCCCGACTACAGCTCACTCACCGACTCGCTAGGCAAACCCCAAACACCCTCTTGATGACTCGCACCCCAGGTATGATCCCATGTTCCCTCTATTCCCACCCAGTGACGTAGCTATCCGGTGCGCAGACGGTGCAACTGCACCAGGTGCCACGGGCTGGAGGAGCAGAGGCACCAGGCTACAAGGAGACAATTGGCAGCACCGGCTTGAGGCAATGCAGGCGACGTAGGCATTTGCACATGGATGTGGCAGATTGTTGGAACTCAGGAGGGGTAGCGCCAATGTCACATCATCCAGTCAGGCGGTTGCGATTTCTGAGTGGGCATCACTTGAACGTGGCAGGACGCCTCGACCAACACCATGGAGATGGGCGGAGAGAGGGGAAAGCCTCGCTTCATTGTTTGCACCGGGCCCATGCCAACCACACTGTGCTACCGAGCTCACCCTGACTCCCACCACCATCCTAAGACCCAGGCCCGGCATCCTTTCACGAGCCTCTCCCTCACCTGGATCCAGTGCTCGCGATTTATCTCGACACCATTGGCACGCAGCGAGGTGATTGCGCGGTCCACAATCTTCTCCACCATGGCCGTGTTGCCGTTGGCCTCCTCCAGCTTGGCGGCCGTAATCCAGATGTGCCGGTCGGTGGGGATGTTCTCGCGAGCCTTGTTCAGCACCTTACGTGCGTTCTCGTACGACTCGAGCCGCGCCAGCGCTAGCCACAGCTGCGCACGCGCCCGCACACACAGACACTCGTCAGTACGATTCATAGAAGCTCGATGGCTGTGTTTATTTCATCCGGGTCATCCAAACCCTCCTGTTTCCCCAGAAAATCAAGAGTTGACTCGAAAATGTTTTTATGCACATCAGTTTGTGGGGACGTCCATCTCTACAATCAAGCGTATTATGCTGAATGTGGTCATTGTTCTTGTGAATTAGAAGCTTAAGATTGAACAAGTAAAATAAGAAACAGTAACGTGTGGTAGTAGGTGTAGTTGCAGGCCCTCACCTCCACGCTGGTGGGGCAGCACTCGACGGCACGGCTCAGCAGGATTCGCGCATCGTCCGGCTCCTCGAGTTCCACAGCCGCCTTCCACAGCCGCACCGAGTTGGGCACCTGCTCTAGGGCTGCAGGAAAGGGAGAGACGCACGCGGGCGATTAATTGCAGCGCCCTGCGTTGGCGCGGTCGAGACCGCCTGGGGCGGCCAAGTGGCTCCACGGCTGTGTGGCGGAGGCGCCGCTTGCCTTTGCGCAGGACTCGCTTCTTGGCCTTGAGATCGGTCTCGAGGTCGGCGGCACGGATCCAAGTGCGCACCGACTGCGGAAGATGCCTCACGGCGTTGGCCACAACCGCCTTGGCCGAGTCGCCGGGCTGCAGGCGCGCGGCCTCCAGCCACACGTCCTCGCTCTACGGGAGAAAAACCACAAACGCGAGCGCTCGCATGCAGGCATAACGGCACGCACACGCGGAAAAATTACGAGAGGCTTTGGCCAAACAGCAAAGTGAGGCAAAACAAGGGGATTCCACACAGAGGGTCCCTGAGACGGCAGTCACAGCAAAGGGTGGGATGGGGTTACGTGAAGATGTGAAGGCTTGGGCTGCATGGGGATTGAGCAGGGATTAATTTCAACCAGGTCTTGTCTGGGGTCGACGATCCAGTATTTCTATACCCAGCACACCGTATCCTGTATATGTCTTGCTACGACTGTGGCTACTACGAGTTACGCGCCACCTTCAGTCTAGCAGCGACTCGGACAACATTCACCAAGAAAGGGAGTCATGAGGGATGGGGGGAACTCACCTTAGGACACATCTCGGTGGCCTTCATGATGATGTTGCGGGCCACCTGCACCTTGCCCGTGACCTCCTCGAGTCGCGCCGAGGCGATCCACGCGGGCGGGTGGTGGGGGTTTGTCTCACGCACCGACTTGAGCAGCAGGCGTGCCTTTTTGATGTCACTGGGATAGAGTGCGCAGAACGGGTGTGGGTGAGACCTCAGCACCGCAAACACAACTACACAACCACCTCCTCTCCTTCTCATCCCTTGGCCTTTTAGTCTATTGGGGCCAGACAGTTTCCTTCCCACACAACGTCTCTCTCCATATCTCTTTGTCTGTCACTGCTTCGGATCCCGTCCAGTGTTTGGTGTCTGATGTCCACTCACACCGTGGTCTTCCTCCCTCGAGTGCTTCCTCCATCACCGTCCTATGTAGTAACCATCCATCCCAGCCAAGTGTCCAAAATAGTGCAGCTTCCTGAATGTGACCGATCTTGGTAGCCTCAATTGTGTCTGTGTTCATTAGAGGCAGGACTTCATTGTTCGTTGCATACAATGTAAAATGTGTTTAGAGAATTCTCTGGGAAGCTTTCACAATCACTGCACAGCCCCAACCACGCAACCGCCGCTCAACTAAAAACCAAACAACCACGTGCGCACACTCACTTGATGTCGCCCCCGTAGGTAGGGATCATGGAGTTGAGATCGGTGAGGTAACCCTTGGGGTCCACTACCGTCTGTCCACTCACAGAGTCTGACACCTGCGGGAGCATACACACAATCAGCGCCATCCGCCCCCCCAAATAATTAATCGCTCGCCACCGCGGCGGTAAAGAAGTGTCGTGTGGCGGTGGAGGGTACCTGGCTGAGACGCATGTCCATGAGCGTGTTTCTGGCCTGGCCGATCTTGCGCATGTCCAGCTCCCCGGCTCCTGGGGTCATTAGGCCGCTGGGGGTCATGGATCCGGGGTAGGATGTGTTGAGGCCTCCACCAGGCAGCAGCTGCACAAGGCATACGCACACACACGTGTACATACACCCACGTTCAAACGCATGCACATGAACACAAGTGTATCCACAAGCACGCACTCGCATACATCCACACACATGCGTACACTGTGTAAACCTTCCATGTGTGGCAGAAACAGGCCCGTGAGTGTGTGAGTGCATGTGTGCATGCGTACCAGCTGACGTGGGTCCACGCTGTTGTGCTGATCAGACGCGTTCTGCATGTGTTTGGAGAGGAAACTGTCGGGCACGGGCGTGAGTTTGTCGTGCCGCGGGTTGCGCTGCCGCTTGTTCCGAGCGTCGCCAACCTCCGGTATGCTCAGCCACTCGTCCTCGGACACCTCCGCCAGTTTGCGCTGTGGTGCGCGCACACAGCAATCAACACAACCCAGTGACGAAATGTACGTGGTTCCTAGGGCATGCGATGATTCACTTCCTTCATGCTCAAGATTCGATAAAGTGTCACGATTCAGTTCTAAAATTGGTTCTTCTTTGTTTTGCTTGTACTGTTTTGTCTGTATCGTAAGATCTCTATCATTAGACCTCCTTTGCCAGTACCAAAATATAATAGGGTTTTTCCCCTTTTTTCTGAAACCTTGGTCTAGCACCAATTGAGATGAGGCTCAAAAGAAAGCCGTCTCTGGTGTGGACCAATCAGTTTCAAGGACAATGCATATATTATCAGAGTATTTTTTTTGCATTTTGAGCACAAATATTGTGGTTAATGTAGACATGATTCCTCATAAAAAGGTTTCAGTTTTGTTGCCAGAAAAAAGGGGAAAAACCATATTCTTATCGTAAGATCTCATTTGTAATTTGTCTGTGCTGCCTATCCTGTTTCTCCTGTTTGTCTTGTCCATATGGTGTGTTATCTATATGCCATCTCATTTGTTTCTGACCCATTAGTTCCATCAGCTTACTATAACCTTCTCTCTCTTGTTCTCACACAAACATAACCCAACATGTTTCAGGGCAACAGCAGTGGCGAGGACGAACCTTTAGATCAGAGAACTGCTGCTGGATCTTGGGTCGCTCCATACGGTATTTTTCAATCTCCTCCCGCTCTCGCTGCTCTCTGTAACACAGCGCTCAGCCCTTACAGTTTGCAGCCTCAACAACAACAACAACCGCCATTCGCCACTAAGTGGCGGTGACGTCACCACGACGCTTGTGCCAGGCTATGTGCACCTTGAGGCCACGTGAAGTGTCGAACGCCCGCTGGCAGGAGGTCACGGGACAGACCCAGATGCCACAGGTCGACTGATTTGAGACGACTGGCTGATGTACCACCTGTGCCCCCTACTGTGCACACTTGCTGTGCTTTAGCCACCTGGCGCTCCCGCTCGTTGTTGTGAGCGTGGCTCCTCCGCTCTCCGTTGTTGTACCCTGCCGGGTACGGGTAGCCGTTTGCGACCCTGGTGCAGCCGGGTACGGGTAAGGAATAAAAACCCGTTTGCGACCTCTGCCGTAACATAACATGGTTGAGCAATAGGGAGCCATCCCTTGACCACATCCGGGCATCGATCAGCCTCCCATTATATCATCTATTGAAGGCTTCACGAACTACGTGGTCGAAATAGATGTTAAATAATGTGGGAGCCAGAGGACATCCCTGTCGCACCCCAAGGTGTACAGGGAATGGCTCCGACTCCCGGCCACGTAGTTTTATCCAGGCCCGCTCACCATCATGAAGGTCCTTAATGATCGTGAGCAGAGGGTCAGAGACTCCGAAAGCACGAAGAACTACCCAGAGCCCAGGGCTACTGATCTTATCATAGGCCTTGACCAGATCAATAAAGCAGAGATGTAGGTCTTGTTGGAATTCCCTACACCTCTGCTGTAACAGACGGACAGAAAACTCACACACCAACACCTACAATGACCAAGTCAGTTACATAAGAAATAAACAATGAAACACTAGTGCTATACAGTAATCCCTCGCCACTTCGCGGTTCAAGTTTTGCGGCCTCAGTGCATCGCGGATTTTTCAAAAATATTCATCGAAAAATAAAAATTCAAAAATACCGCCATATCGGCAGCCGTATTGCGGAAAGCAGCGTTGTTTCATCGTGATGCGCGAGAGAAACGGTTTCCCAGGATGCCAGACAAAGAGAGAACTCTCTCAGAGGCTTTGTACATACTGTACCCACGGGCACTCAGACAAGGCACGTGATTGGTTCCCGGAGCGAGATCGACGAATGAGAGCACGAGTGGATGTACAGTATCCAGTGAGCTGATTGGCTGCACATCATAATACGTATCGTATGAGAAAGAGAGTGAATGTATAATATTAAGGTTTTATAATTAAATAGATTTAAGTAAAATATATGTGAGTGAGTGAATGTATAATATTAAGGTTTTATTATTAAATAGATTTAAGTAAAATATATATATATATATAAAGTATAAATATACATATTTTAAACATTCTGGTACCCACACACACATATACGGAAATTCCTAGGGGGGCCAATCCTACTTCGCGGATTTTCACCTATCGCGAGGGGTTCCGGTCCCCATTAACCGCGATAAACGAGGGATCACTGTATATCCACCGTGCCATCAACTCACCCAAAAACGTTTCGGAAAGCCCAAATGTAATGCATAACAGCTATTTATTACAACTTTAATAGCTGTTTATACTACTTCATAAATATATTGGCAGGAAATGAAACACGTAAAAAAATGTAAACATGCAATGATAATAAAATAAAAAATTACGTTTCGGACAATGTGATGACCATGGACTTCGTATGATACATTGTAGCATTGCCAAACCATGACAACCCCGTGGGAGGCCTGGGGGCTCGGCTCTCCGGCACCACTCACCGGCGGTCCTTCCTCCGCTCGTCCAGGCGCTTGTCCACCATACAATAGATGGCATCTGCCTCCTCATCGTCCTTCTCGTAGGGACCGCTCGAGAATAGGCTCCCAGCGTAGCCGTTGAACTGCGGACGAGAAGCGCGGGTGAAACATGGGGGTGAGCGTGATGAGGCGAGGGTATGTGAGCATTGAGGTATGGTTGTGTAAGCGGCGAGGCACTGGTGGTGTGCCCAGTGTCACTCAGAAATATTATCATTCATCCACGGCACAGTGATCTAAGTTTGAGTCCCGACTAGGGCTAAAAGCAGTGGTGAATTATATCTAAACTGGTCCTGGGCATCTCCATCACTAACCCGCATCGAGTGGCATGAAGTATGTAAAAATTTCTCCATACCAAGCACAGTGTCATGCGGTCTTCATGCAGTAGTGGGTTGACAAAGGACTAAAATTATGGTGTGCATGTATGAAACAATATCAATGTAGGATTGCATCATTGCATGTGCTTATTTCTGAGTGTACAAAACAGCACTCGTAGTTTTCGGTTCTATTAGCTGACGAGCGCTACGCGTAGTGGGTCGATAGGTACATCCCAGTCGTGGTCACCGTGGCGCCAGAGCGGTCACCTCGTCATAGTTGGAGTCATTGAGGTCCTCCTCCTCGTCCTCCTGGCTCTTCTTCATCTGGTCACCGACCGTGCGTTTGCCGGGCGGCGCGTGCCGGTCGTCCACGGGGTCATTGGCATCGCGAGCCGGACCGATGTCAGACCGCGTCGTGAAGCCCGTGGCACTGGAGGTGGCGGGGAATTGAGAAAATATGGGGGCGGTCATCAAAACATCCACGGTACACTAGAGTAATTACTCATTAAAACACTAACCTGCACACCCACCTCACCCAGTCACATATCCACCCATGCATTGAACGAATCACACGCTCACCAATTCTCTCCAACTTTCACCCGATCACCATGCACAAATGCACCAATCACGGATTCACTCATTCACTGAGCAATCAACCACCCATGCACGAATTCACTCGCCCATCCACCCAACTTATATCTCGTCACTGACCCCTACCCAAACACTCCTACCTACGTATCTTCTACCCACTCAACCCACTCATCCGCTTGCAATCTTCCTACTCGCCCAAACCAACACACCCCAACCATAAACTCACCTCGGCTCATTCACACCATGCCTACTCACTCCAATCTAGCCCAGACACCCGTACCTCCGCAGTTAAAAACTCGATCTGCCCACATACCCACACTGCGACCACTCAACCCCTCCCCTCACACAAGATAAGTATTTTTACTTCACCAGGTAAGGCCTACTGAGATATATAGCTAGTTTTCCGAAGCGACCTGGCCACAAATAGCGCAACTTAGTTGCTTATCATGTGGAAATGTATTGCAGCCAAATACTCCAAACGCATGTTTCTAAATGTGGAGAGGAACCACCGGAGGACCCGGAGAAAATCCAAATAGACAGCAGCAGCAGCAGGCATCGTCAGGGTCGGGATCGAACCCACGACCTCCTGTAGACCAGGCGAGGTAGTTAACATCTCCTCGCCGCCCTACCCGATCCAGCCCCTCTCCCCAGCACCCCCTAACGCCTCACCCTCGACCCAGGCCGGGCACGTATCCCAGGGGCGCGGGCATGCCCAGGAAGTGCTTCTTCTTGCGGAGAGCGCCGCTCACGCCGCTTGCGGCCGCCATGATGCCTCCTCGTCCTCTTCCCAAAGTGCCCCGCGCCGCGTGACCCTTGACTCCGCCTCACGTGACTCCTCGGGGTGGGGGGCGGAAGAGGAGGGGGGAGATGAGGGGCGGGCCCGCGGAGGGCGTGCGTGATGACGTCACGAGGGTGTTGCCGTCGTGTGCGTGATGACGTCACCGAGAGACCTTTCGGAGGTGCGGCCTTGCGCGATGGCGTCACGCGCTGGGTGACGTCACAACGGGAACACTGACTCGTGAGAGGCCGCACGTGGGAAACACGCAGCGGGCAGCAACAGCTGCAGCTGCCATCACCTGCAGCTTCTGTTGAACGAAGAGAGAGGGAGACAGAGCCGCGGAAAGGCATAGAGAGAGACACTGAGAGATATAATGAGCCTCGATACATCCACTGCTGGATGGCCTCCCCAAGATGTCCCCGTCGGGGCAAGATTTGTGTCGTGGGGACAAGCAGCAGCAGCAGCAGCAGCCACTCGCCCTGCTCAGAGAGAGAGAGAGATCCAGGAGATAGATGCGGATTCCACAGAGACAGAGACGATGCTTGTCACAGGTGTCATGAGACAAGACGTGTACACACGTGTACACAGATAAAGATCACCCGTATAGCCTGACAAGACTGTTGGGGGCCAAGTGCTGTTAGCGAGGACCTATGAAGGCCGGCACGGCACGCGAGAGAGTTGGTGGCCAGCAACACGTGTCACACACACGGTGTACACACACACACACGGTGTACACACATCGCACACGGTGTACACACACACGGTTTACACACACACACACGGTGTACACACACACGGTGTACACACACACGGTGTACACACACACACGGTGTACACACACACACGGTGTACACACATCGCACACGGTGTACACACACACGGTTTACACACACACACGGTGTACACACACACGGTGTACACACACACGGTGTACACACACACACACACGGTGTACACACACACACACACGGTGTACACACACACACACACACGGTGTACACACACACACACGGTGTACACACACACACACACGGGTTCCACACGCCCTGTGTGACCGCCCCCTATCGCCCTGACGCCGGCTGCTACACTCGCTCTGACGTCACGGGCAGCTCCTCGTTCTCACGCCGCGTCCTGGACGCGCTTCCGGACAGATCCCCGAAACCGAACCTCTGGGACCCCCTCGGACCCCCTCGGACCCCCTCGGACCCCCCCGGACCCCCCCCCCCCCCCACGAGTGGGACCCCCTAGGACCCCCCCCCCCCCACGAGTGGGACCCCCGGTGCGCGGAGCGATGGACTCGCGGCACTACGACATAAGCGAGGAGCAGAAGGCGATCAAAGCAAAGTATCCTGCCGTGATCAAGAAGCACGAGTGTGAGCGGCGGACACTTCTACACCGCCTACTGCACCAGCTACTGCACCACCTACTGCACCAGCTACAGCACCACCTACAGCACCAGCTACAGCACCAGCTACTGCACCAGCTACTACACCAGCTACAGCACCACCTACAGCACCACCTACAGCACCACCTACAGCACCACCTACAGCACCAGCTACAGCTACTGCACCAGCTACTACACCATCGACAGCATCACCTACAGCATCACCTACTGCACCACCTACTGCACCATCGACAGCATCACCACCACCACGACTCATTAACAGCATCACCACGACCGCCATCAAGCGACAGGGAGTGTCCATTGGTTTGTAGAGTCATCTTTTGTAGAGGTGACTTGTTAATTCATTGCCGGTCGAGGGCCTCTTCATGATGTGTAGGTGGTGGGGGTTATTTGACTATACTTCACCACTCTTTATCAGTGGGGGTTGGTGAAGGCGGCTCTGGCGCACGCCTGTAATCCAGCACTTTGGAGGTCGTGGTGATTGTTGTTGGATCATCGCACTTCTTGTAAACTCACTTCTTGTGGGCATCGAGGTGCCACCCCGTGGCTCGCCAGGAGATGGCAGTACAGCCAAAAATGTGGACTCCGCCTGCGCCGTCTGTATGGGAAAGTTTCCCCGTCGCACGCGTGTTTTCTCCAGGTGCCCCCCCCCCCCCACATATATACCGAACTCATTGATTGGTTTAAAACATCTTAATATATAGGACCGCGGAGCTTGGGCAATTGTTGGCGCTGGGTTTTCGCCTCGCTGCTGCCTCCCCGCTTGTCTGTGGCTCCTCGCGCTTGAGGCGTTCTATTTCTACGACAGCGAGCGAATACGTCCCAAGTTAAAATCATTATTTCAGACGTGGAAGCATAGACTGCTAGTTCAATGGATTTTACTGCACTCACTTCTGCTGACACCTGATTGCACGTCTTTAAAAAAATTGTGTGAATATCTGTAAGCTCTACCAGTTTAATCGTGTTTTATTTTTACACTAGCGGGAAGTACCCGGCGTTGTCCGGGCCAAAAAAATATTTCCAAACTACTCCTAAAAATCTAATAGCAGTGCGTACTGACTGTGGTGGCACCTGCTATGATTACAGCAGTGCATAGTGGTGGTGCCTGCTATGATTACAGTAGTACATACCGACTGTGGTGGCACCTGCTATGATTACAGCAGTGCATACTGTGGCGGTACCTGCTATAATTACTGCAGTGCATACTGTGGTGGTACCTGCTATGATTACAGCAGTGCATACCGACTGTGGTGGTACTTGCTATTACTACAGTAGTACATGCTGACTCTATAGCAGTATTCTTTGGTTCTTTCGGTAAAGTCACGTATAAAGATAAAATAATAAATTAAATAATAGCATACTACGACGTTTCGATTGCAACACAAGCAATCATCATCAGGTATAAAAGAAATAGCAACAAAAATCTAACCAGAAAACTATAGACAGACATATAAGCAGACAGACATCATAAAGATACACAGAGAGAGGTCGTCTCTGACGGGGCCTTAAATATATAGAGAGGGGGCGGGGGCGGAGAGAGGGAGGGGGCAGAGAAAACATTTGCATGTCAATGAGTGGACAACGACGTGGTACGGTACGCAGTATTTATCGACTCTATAGCACAAAGTACTCACCTGACAGAGTGGCATGGTGAGGCCTAGTCCCGTGCAGAGCCTCCGGCCTGGCTTAGATTGTCCAGCCGACCAAGGTGGCACCTTGGCAGGCTGGGCTGCTACCCCTGACCCCCCCCACAGCCACGATCTCCCCGGCCGCTCTGCAGTAATATCTACGGCCTATAGTGGTAGCATCTACCGACTGTATAGTAGTAATAATTACACGCATCGGGGTCGGGGGGACATCGCACAGTGAATAATTTACCTCGGCGTTTAGAGTATTTTTTTAGCATTTTTAACGCGAAAGAAAATGTCCCCCTCACTCCCACCGAAGGGGTGCGACTTGGCATGGTTCGTCCCCCCCACCAAAGGCGCGTGAGTTGGTATGGTCGTGCATGCGTCATAAATAAATAAATAAAAAGCACACAAAAATCCCACTAAATCGCTAAACTAATTTAAACTTGACGGATGTGAAAAAGGAATAGCGCTTGCTCACGGCGGGGCTTACGGCGTGGTACCTTGCTATTTTTATTTTGCGTAAACCCCACCGTTGGAGAGCCAAATCCTTCACAAGCACGCTAACACACACAAACCCACACACAATTATTTTTTACTTTTATATATATATAGTGTGGCATTTGTCTTGCGCTCGTGTCATACGTTACAATGCCCGCGTGCTTTGCCGTGCTACTAATGGTCCTTCTGCTCCACAGACCTGGACCACACGGCAGACGTGCAGTGAGTACTCGCATCTCCATGGCTTCGCTTCTCAGTATGTTCCTAGCCTTGCAAGAACTGGTAGGGTCAGTATGCCCTGGAGGGCCACGTCTCTCACATTGACGGCGCTTTGTGGTGTGTGCCCTGAGCATTGTGCGGTGTGCAGGTTGCACGCGTGGGGTGACACGCTGGAAGAGTCGTTTGAGCAGGTTGTCATGGCCATGTTCGGCTACATCAGCGACATCGAGGTGGTGGAGCCGCTGGACACGGTGGAGGTGGAGGCTGAAGGTAATGTCATTGTCCACGAGGGAGTTTTGCATTTGTCTCTGCGATACATTTCCGGGTTGTTCCGCGTATTGTTTGGAAAGATGTCCAACGTTTTTCTCCACGTGCTGGGAGCTTCTTCAGGAACTGACTTTAGCACTTGCAGCTCTTTTCTTCACAAGGGACTAAAACAGGCGCCATTCACCAAGTGGTATTGATGTCTCCGCGGTGCTTGTGCCATGCTAGATGTACACGTAGGACACACACACAAGATAATAATGTCCATCTTAATTTGGGAGACGTATTTCAGGCAAAACTCTATCGTAAGCAGAGGCATTATCTTTGGCCTCCAATTAAATTGACTTCCTGAAAAATCTCCCAGCACATGGACGAAAACGTCAGAGGTCGTGCAAGACAACACGAAGTACAGTCCAAAAACACACCCGGGAGCTATGAAGCACAACTGCAGAAATCTACGGTTTACCTCCATAATGGAGGTTTTTTGGTGTTTTCCTCCGGCTGTGGTTCCGTCGTGGGTGGTAGATTTTACAGCCCTTGGCGACGTGCATCTCTCCACAGGTGAGGACATGATGTCTCTGCTCTACCAGTTCATGGATGCGTGGCTCTACAAGTTCTGCGCCGATTTATTCTTCATCCCGAGGGTAGAGGCAATCAGCCCTGCAGCTGCTACACTCGGACATCGATGTGCACACTCGTTTACATCCACTGCAGTAAAACCGAGAGTTTCCATTGTAACTTATATTGTCTTGGGTTGTCTTTTCAGGAGGTGAAAGTCGTGAGTCTGGACAGAGTCAATTTCAAAATCCGCTCAATTGGGTAAGTGCAACGCTACCTCTGCATGCTTCATTACTCGTGCAACTTTGAGAACAAATACATATATCACTGTTGGTAACCCTTACACAAACTTTCCAAGGTAAAAAGCACCACCAAAGGGATCAGAATCAGGATCTTTATTTATACTGGAGGATTCCGATGAGCATTAAAAAGCTCTTTTTCACAGATGTTCAGATATAGTTGTCACTTTGTTATGTGAACATTTGATGCTCTCTCCTTTGTGGTGTTAACACAGTATGACTTGTCCGTGCATCTGATTTCTCCCCTGTCTCCCCTGTGTCTCGTGTTCCCTTTATGTACCCTGCAGCTGGGGAGAGGAGTTCAACCTAGAGAAGCATCCACAGGTGAGGAGATCATTGTCCCCTCACCACTCATAAGCACCTACAAAAACACATGGTGACACGGGCAGAAATGGGTAAAATACACATTTCTGAAGAAATAATATACAAATCACCAATTAACTGTGTCGTATACCTATTACTTTGGTACCATTTATGAATGTGATGAAATAACAGAATGCAGTGGCCGGGCTGGGTGTAGAGGCGGCCATGTTTGTTGATGCCGTGTGCGGTGCCGTTTGCGGTGCAGGGCACGGAGGTGAAGGCCATCACCTACTCAGCCATGCAGATCCACGAGGAGGAGGATAAAAACGATGTGTTTGTCATCATCGACATCTGAACCTTATGGCGGGACCCTAGGGTCCCATAAGCCCCCGGCTCTCGCATAAACTGCATTGTGACGTCATTTTATGTCTGTTGAAGGCGAACGATACGGCAATCTATTCCTCTCGACGAACTCTACACGATGCGCTAATCAAAGATTTGTTTATGATTACGGCATTCGTTCTCGCTGCGCTTGGACGACATGACAACAGAATGATTCGCGCCAGGTGGGTCGCGGCGTTTATGTGCGTGGTGGGACGGAGTCGCCAAAATAAATTACGATTTTGACTTCGGTTTATTCGGGACCCTGGGGTCCCGCCATAAGGTTAATCTGACGCATGGCAACTTTGCTCTGACTTCTTTGTCGGATGCAAGTTGGATGTAGCGGCGCCTCTCGTCACTGACAGACTGAATCCACGTTGATTAAAATTTAAACAGCAAGTTAGAGGCAGCCACTCCTTCAGTGCTCTCAATACTTGAGGACTTTTATCTGTCGAGTCAGGATGAGGTTAACCCAAATCTCACCTCCACGATCACCGTGGTGGTCTTGCATGCTGACAGGAGATGCTTCATGGCTCAGGGAATGGTCATATCGCTTATATTTTTTTCTAGAAATTCAGTGGTGTGATACTTTATAATCAGAGCTTCTTAAAGAAAAGATAATATTTTATAATGGATCTCACAGGTGTGGCTTTGGACTTTTACAAAAGCTATGTTTTTGTAGAACATTAATTAAGAATATGCTTTGCTCTTTCTGGCAATAAAACAGTTGTGTTACGATGTTCAAACACCAAATAGAAAAACCTTTTTGAAGGAATCAAGTCTGCATTAACCACACTTACTAGTGGTGAACATGCAAACAAACATGCTCTGATAATATATGCAGTCTTTGAAACTGATTGGGCTACACCAGAAACAGCGGCCTTCTTTATGGCCCAGTCTCACCATTGTCAGACCAGAGAACGCCAAAATGCGAACAGCACAAAGACATCGCCACACGTGTCAGTGTCGTTTGGGGTGAGCAGCTAAATCATGGGACCTTTTTATCATATTTAATTATCAGAGCATGTTATTTTGCATGTTCACTACAAGTACGTGTGGTTAATGCAAACTGGATTCCTTGCAAAAGGTATCTATTTAGATTTTGAACATCTTAACACCTGTTTTATTGCCGTAAAGGTAAACCCTATTTTTTTTCATACTTTGATACTGGAAAAAAGGTTCCACGATAGAACATTAATTATTAATTGATGTACACTGGTACAAACCATCTTACTTTAATTTATAATTTAAGTTGTGTGCTGTTAATCAGTGTGTGCTACGAGTCAAGGGGAATGGCAGAGGGAGGTGGGGTGCAGTGAGCATGGGGCCTTAAAAACAGGCCGAGTCTATGACAGTGGGAAATTCATCACCCTGTGCAGACAGGGGGTGTCTCTTGTGGCTGTCTATTGGATGTTCATAATAAATGCGTGCATTGCTCTCAGGTTATTAAAGTCGTGTCAATCCTCTGATCTCCATAGATAATGCCCATTTGGGTTACTCAGACAACCATGGGCGGTGCTTGAGGAATGCTTGGGCAAGCCCCGACCACACCATATATCCTTGTGGGCTACCAAAATCAATCTTGTAAACGGTATATCACTGTTGTAATGACCCACACAACAGCTCTTATATCGCCAATCCAAGAGGCTTCCAGAGCCGAGCCTTTCGACAACTTTGATCCCCTTCATGGATGCGGGCAATACAGCTGCGTTCAGTGCTGCAAAAACGAGATGGGACACGGTTGTGCATTTACAGTTGCTGTTTAATGCCTGTGAGGGTATCAAGTTCCCACAGGCGCTCCCTGCCAACTCCTCCACACACGGAGTCTCAGGTCCACTTGGGAGGCAGCCTCCTCCAACCCACATAGGAATAGGGCATTCCCGGAACATGCGCACGCATGTCCACAGACACGCACGCACACATACAGAGACAGACCAATTGGTTGCTTCCTTCCTGAAAGTTGTATGTGTGGCTGTGTATGACAATGTTAGTACTGTGTATGTGTATTCAGAATACTATTCATAGTGTAATACAGTATGTATATATTGCAGTATGTGTGCATGCACTGGCTGAGCCGGGGGGGGGGGGTGGCACGTGCCCCCCCAATGATCCGATCGAAATTCCTAATTTCGATCGAAATCCCTAATTTCGATCGGATCATTGGGGTTTATTGGTAATAAATCGGCATTTTGCGACCCCCACTGCCACTGTGTAGCATATTATTACGTGTCAGGGACTCTGAGATGATAGGACAATAGCCTGATTCCATAATTGGAAATAAGTAACGGCAAAGCAGTTATAAGTGACTCAGAATTGTGCGCAGTTGCGTATACGGTACACGACTTCCCTGAAGGCATTCACCTTCAGCGAGCACGATGCCGATCACACACGGTTCGGATTCGACCCTCGATGGCTGTGCTATCGCCGCACACGCATCAAGGGACAAGTCCTTACTAACAACTCCTATCATTTTTAATTGCTGGAGGAGTTGACCCCCCTACCTGAAAATCCTGGCTCCGCCATTGTGTGCACGTGTTAAATTTAGCATATGTGCGCGTGTATATTTGCACATTTATGTAATCTATTATGTGTGTACTTGTACACGCATATAAATATAAAGATCCCCTGAATAGCCTTAACAATCTGTTGTGGCAAGTGCCATTAGCAAGCATCTATGAAGGCAGGCACGACACGAGGGGGTGGGTGGCCAGCACCACGCCTGGCCGCCTTTGTCTCCCTGGTGATGTATACACATCACACCAGGTACTCATTTGAAGCGGAGTCGACCTAGGGGAGGCTCAGGACCGGTTCAGATCATTGTCACTGGTGTTGGCCGTGAGCGGGAATCAAACTCGGGTCACCGGATTCGTAGCGCAGCGATCTAACCATGACACTACCGCTCCCCAGTAGCAAATTGATTCGTCCCCTCTGCAATGTCTGGCTTGGACGTGTCACTGGCTGAAGCCTTGTGTACAGCGCGCATGTCTGCATGGTAGGTTAAGTATATTTGCATAATTAGTGTTTAAGATTATGTTATTACAATACTTGATTTAAGCTGGCTAATGCATCATAGAGGTTAATACGGAACCGAGTTTCCAGGTCCAGTAGAGAATGCCGCAATGATGGCTGGGCCATCATTCCTTTGCAAAAGCACCTGCAGCTACGGGTTACAGCACCGGCAATCGAGCACATGCGGCCACCTCGGGTTGTACTGCGTGCTCGGCACGATACTGTCCGGAGTTTCGCTCCAAGTGAATTCAGAGATATACAGGGCAACTGTTACAATGATGACAGCTCTCATCATCACAACTCTGGCTCGGAGCGCTACCAGTCACCGTCTAGGGCAGCACTTCCCCCCATGCTGTGCTCGAGGACAGCACAGCACCACGAGCGTTCAGCGGCGACGTACACGAATATCGATGAAGGTGAGCAATTTACATCCATCAGAACCATGGGTGGCACCCACGTGAAGAGGCCAAGTGATTCTTTGGTGGGGGGGAGAGGGAACATAAGGTTAAATGGGGGTGGGGGGGGTCCATGGCTGACCTGAGGAAATGCTGCTCTTGTCAGTAATGTCGAATAGCTTAGTGCAGTGGTTCTCAACCTGTGGTGCATGCACCCTCTGGAGGTGCGAGATGTCCTTTCTGGGAGTGCGAGACATGCCAGATTTTTTTAGAAGGTAAATCATCGAAACACAAATTAAGCACGGGCACGTAAGTACAACTACTTTGTTTCATTAAACCTATGGATTCACGTTATAAATTAATTACTGATTGAGAACCAAAGGGGTGCAAGGCTGGAGTAAAGGTTAAGAACCACTGGCTTTAGTGTAAGACAATAAAAATAGGTTTTACATGGAAACCAAACGCAACTGCATCTCAAGACTCACCACAGCAGCGTCTCCACTGAGTGATGTTTTTTTGCTTCAGCAATCAACAGTACATGTTAATTGTACTCTGATGTATTAATACTTTTTACTTCATCTTTATCTTACTGTATCCTCCAGGATAAAAAATACTTTTTTTATTTCACGCCTCTGTTCAAATTATTTTTAGTGTGGGGGGTTAAAGTCTCTTGTTTACACCCCCGCAAGTATGCCAAGCGGGAAGCGATAGCCCCCCTCCTGCCACCCCACCAGCTATGATCAAAACCTTTCTAATTAAACACCTTCCACCTCAGTGCAAAGATTACATCAATCGGTGGATAAAGTGCACAGTTTAAAGACGGGACTATTACACAAACCTGATGCCACACAAACTCAAACTCCTGGTACAAAACACAACCCTGATTCGTGGGGAAAAAACCCCATCTCTTACGAGCATTCCTATTGCTGATGCCTGGGGAATCATTTCAGCTGGGTCTGTTCTGGTCAGTGATCTGAAACATATTCCTGCACCTGGCACACCACATCTATTATATCTCTTACTATGGCTACTACTTAAAAGCCACACACCAGTGACCCTCAAAATATTCCGTGAGAAACGAAGCCCTTGCGATGCCTGTGTGCTACATCTCAAATGCGACACTGCGGGCGTGAAGCCGTCAAGGCTGTGTATCGAGGCCCCCCGCGTGGCCGGCGCGGTGCACGCGACGTTCATTAATGCAATGTGATGGCTTAGTGGCGTTGGCGCCGATACTTCTACAGTCGCGGGTGGCACGGAAGTCAGGGCTCTCGCCACACAGCTGAATCGAGCAGCCAAATCTGCATTTCCAGCTTGTTTATTCATTTATAATACAATTAGAATGAGAGTCTCGCGAACATGAGTCGATGTATTTAAATCATACGGCTAAGTCAGCTCGCTATTGCTTCGGTAAGATAAACGCCCCTCACTTCTGTGACTCAAAAGTGAGGCGCAGCACAAAACGTCCCATTTCAATTGTCGGGTGGCGCAGTGGAAACACCGGTCCCTCACAGAGATGAGGGCCACAGTAGAATGTCTGACACGGACGCCTTTCTGTGTAGTTTGAATGTTCTCCACCTGTTCTGCATGGGTTTCCTCAGGGTTCGCCGTTTTCTTCATAAACTGAAAACATTCAATGTAACGGGTATTGACCAAACATCCCAATTACCTAAAATTACTCAAATGGGATCACACATAGCAACATCATCCCCAAATACGTAAACTTGGCAGAAGCCTCCTGAAAAAGAGTTGAGACTCAGTGAGGCTGTCCTGGGTAAACAAGCGTAAAAAAAAATCATATTAATAATAAGCCCTCCCCTACCCCTCCCATCTACAGAGTCACTCACCACTAAGCTACTTCATCATGGCTCTAACTCGCCTGGGTGGCGTCGCCACGGCAAGAGCGGTTGCTTTCTGTTGGCGCTACACTGTGTTTGGAGCTGCGTTGCGCTGCGGCCGGCACTGGCTAGAAGGTGCGAGTTCAGTGCCGCGCAGGGCCACGCAGGGCCACGCAGGGCCACGCAGGGCTAAGCGGCCACCCTGCGTGCCCCGCACTCGCAGCAGAACTTGGCCCAGTCGACGGGGTGGCGCGTGCCGCACTCGTGGCAGAAGCGCGGCAGGGGGCGGCGACCGGAGGGTCCGGGGGGCGTCCTGGCGTGTGTCGTCTCGTCTCCATTCGAGTGCTCCCACGGGTCCCGCCGGGCACCGCCAATGCTGGCGCAACCACAACCACGACGTCAACGTGGCGCAACCTCAACCACAACGTCAACGTGGCACGAACAGCACCCCACCCAGTACCGCACCCACCTTGCACAAGCGACTGGTTTTATGAGGCTCCCCAGAGACAGTGAGCAGGCAGCCCCTCCATCAGTCCCACCCACTTTTACATATCCACGCCTAGTTGCCCACACACGAAGTGGTTTCGTCCTTTATTACATTGACTATGCCGACTGATCATAGGCCCCTCCCACTCCTCTCCCAATGCTGCCCACTGCTCAGGTAACCCCACCTATTGCCCACATCGTGAGTTGAGCATGAAGCCAGAACATTTTAAATCATGGAAAAATCCTGGGATACTCAACCTTAAAACCAGGAATGTCCCAGCCAAACCGGGACATTTGACAGTGTCAGTGTTCACGTGCAAAACCCCAGCTGAGAACAAAGCAGCTTCGGTTGAGCATTGGGAGAATGGGGAGGGAAACCGTGGTGACCCTGGCTGCAACACAGCTCATTGTTGATGCTGCATGGCTGTGATTCGCTCACCCGTCATTGCGCTCGTTCAATGCGGCCCGTGTGGGGCCGGTCCTCCTGGGAGCGCTGCTTCCCATGCTCTTATACCCAGAGGGTGGCGTGGGGCTGTGAGCCGGCGTCCTATGCGACACACGCATGTACCACGTGGCTGCCACAATTCATGGTATGCTGGAATATCTACTAATTGTATGCTGAAATGGCAGACAGTCGCACATGACTGTCTGCTTGTGTTACACACGTAGACACACACGAGGTAGAGCCGGACCGCACACATGGACATTACCGCTGGATGGGCGTGAGCTCGCTGGCCACGCGTCTGCCCGCTGAGCGTCCTGTCCTGAGCGGGGGCCCATCAAACTCCACTTCTCGGCCGTATGTCGACCTGAGAACCGCAGGTCAATGGGTCACATGTAAGGAGCACAAGGAGCCACGGGGATCACACAGCACATGGAAACACTGCCAGCAAACTCACGATGGAAATCGATCGCACTTGGCACAAGCTGATTGTCTGAATACAGCTTGAAATTCATTTTTCTTTCCACATTGTATGAATTGCACGCTTGAAATGACATTGAGATACGGAAAGAGGAACACATGGATTTGATAACTTACAATGAGACGGAATTGTGACCATCAATAAAAGTGGGCTTGGGCAGGACACGTTACTAGAAGGGGTGATAGCTGGTGGTCAAGGCAGAAACACACCACAGAAGACGTCCGCCATGGAAATGGAGCGATAAGATAAACTCGTGCATGGATGCTAAATGGATTGCTCCATCGCAGGACCATGAGAGATGGTAGTGGCTTGGGGTGGCCTTCATCCAGCAGTGGATTGATGTTGGCTGATAATGACGATGGCTTGTGTAGCTGTTGCATTTGCTATAGAACCATTTGTGAATGTGTTCCACTGAGCCGGTGCGAGGTGCCGTGCTCACCCTCCCCGTGACGGTGTGCTGCTGCTGCTGCTGGCCTTGCCCACGCCCGTCCTCGCCTCCCGCGCTGGGGAGGCCTCGCGTAGCCGGGATGCCAGGGCACCGGTTGCACCGGCACCTGCACAACAAAATCAGTGACGAATCCACACACATCACACACTTACAAAATTCAAAGACTACTGATTATATTATCTAACCGCAGTGTTTACTTCTGGGGTTTGCCTATGAAAGCTCTGTGATGTCAGCTTCCAAATGCCGTTCTCTGATACGAAGGAATACTTCATCACATGACAGCACGACTGGGATAAAATTATGGATAAAGACAAGGACTGTTCGCTATGGGAGGTGGTGAAAGTCACCAGCAGAGCGCATGGAGGTCCCTGCCATGTGGGAGCGGCTGGGCAGCAGCGCCGGCATTTGAGAGGAGGTCGCCCCGTCCTTTTTCTTGACCGACGGCGCCCGGTACTAGAACCGCAAGAAAAAGAGCAAGCACCCAGTGCTTCTTGTCACAAACAAAACAGGCTGGCAGCACGTTCCCTCTGTTCCCTGTATATCCTCACTCTGCCTTACATTGTACCGTAGAATGAGAGAGACAAATTATTAAATCTCACACGCAAGTGTCCCTCGGGCACCACTGCTTCCACACTGGTGGGACTGGGTGGTGGCACAGGAGACTGAGGAGGCGCAGGAGGAGCAGGAGGAGGCACCTGTATGCGGACCGCTAGGCGGGATGATGCCTGCTGGGAGGGGCCGCTCCGGCCGATGCGCGCCGCCTGCTCCTTGCAGAACATGATGTGGCGCTCAGCCGCGCCTTCGTTGAACCTCCGCTGGCAGCACGGGCACTGCACGTAGTCTGAACGGGGCCGCACGCACAACAGCACCAGCACGAGGGTGACCAAAGGGTGGGCGCTAATGACGGTGCCGTACAAAACGGTGTCACGTGTCGCAAGTGATGGGCCATGGATTTTCCTTTACTAGGGTTTAAGGACGGCGGAGGTGGAGGAGGCAGGGGCCCCCCTTCCTTGAGTGCCTGAGTCACTCCTTTAGCCGCGCGGATCGTCTTGACAAATTCCTCGTGCTCTTGCCTCCAGTTGGACTTCTTCTGCGGCAGCGGCTGTGACTGCTGCAGAGGGGACACAATGCTGACCGCCACAGCTGCAAACTGTCACTGACATTCAGGCCATTTCTCAAGGCAGGGTTCTTAAATTGCATTTTCTGGTGGGCCACATAATACAAAGTTTGTGCATCTGGGCCACGTGACGTCGCATCACGTGTAGACATTATGGCGTCACATTACCCCGGGATATCATAACATCTGTGCACGTGGCGTTTAGTCCGTGCATCTTGTCTTCAGCTTTCTCATTCTCAGTTTTGTATCTCGGTTCCATCTCAGTCATCTTTATTTATTTTCTCTGCTCTCTCATTTCTATAGCTTGTTTATCTCTTTTTCGTCTCACAAATCTGTACATCTTAAATCGTAGTAAGCTATTGCTCTCAAGGGGTCAAAGAACGACGGGCCACTCCCTCAGCCTTCTTGGGTCACATCTACAAATGCCAAGATCACTGCACTCTGCTGCCACTGATTTAAATGGCCGTGGTTGTCACCAAGCAGACAGGAAGGTGGGAGTCGTACCTTGGCGGACGCAAGCTTGGGTTTCAGCGTCGAGATTTCCGTCCCATCGAAGCGCTGCCTCTGCGAGTCGAACACCTTGCGCTTCTTGGTGGCTTGCTTGCGACAGATGTTGATGTGCTTTTTCTGCACAACAACCACCCGCACACACTCAGCCCCAGCGGAACCAGCCTCCACGAGAGCCACCCTCCCAAGCCTGGCGGTGCACTCGGCGTCTAAACACCACGTCAGGGAATTTATCAGCGTACGTGAAACACAAGGGCACCTCCACACATTGCACGCACACGTTGTAAGTTACAAATGAAGGTTGAAGGTACAACTGCATTGGACTCGATACGAAGTGTTTTCATTGGCATTTCTACGAGAATGTCATCTGAAAAACTTCTCTGCCTTCTAGAAATCTATCCATCATGTATTGTTCAACTAAAAAAGACATAGGTTTCAATACAATTAATAAGTATTTGAAACCACCTGCCCAATAATATTTGACTTGAAAATTACTTCAGCCATCATTTACTAAACATGAACGTAAAATAAGTACAATAAACTGACAGCTATGGGCTCTTGCAATTACACCGTGTTGCTGTAATGCTGTTCTGGACTCTGCAGAGGTCTGACTTAGAGGCCTCTGGATGACTCAGAAATTAAACTGTATATTAGTATTTCAGAACTCGTATTTTTTGCTTTTACATGCATTCCCTATATATGTATGTACGTTTAATTTCTTTCGCACCATACGTAGCCATCCGTGCTGACTAGAGGTGCTAGAGATATGTTTTGGATTTATAACTTTCGGATTTTTAAGGAAATGTTCGGATGTGTTTTTATTATTTATGTGTCTTGGGCTCACAAAAGTGACATCACTCAATGACACATTACACCATTCTTGGCAAGAAAACAGCGAAAGTGACATTGATCAAGTCACTTTTTTTTCCTTGTAACAATGTTTTTTTCGGATTGTCCAACATTTCATTACTCGGCCTGATTTTAGTATTTTCTGGGTGAATCCGTAAAACATGGAAGACATCCCTATATGTCGTGGTGTTGCGATGAGCCGGTTGTTTTTAAGGAACACCACCACTACAATTAACTCATCACTGTTGCTCATCTCATTACGTTTCACGACCCGCGAACGTACCAGGCTCTGCGGCGCAAACGTCCTCCCACAGACGCTGCATGGCAAGTAGTTCTCCCGACTTGGACCGATGTACTCTGCAACGAGAGCACAGGGACAGAGTTGTGAGTTGTAGGGGGTGGCTTGCAGCATGGCACTTCCCATGGAGCCACAGCTGCCCGTGACCCACGTGCCACGCCCGTGACATGTGGTGCGTCTTGGTGATCCATTTCACACACTCTTTGCTAAAACGAAAACGCCAAGACTACTAGCGACCCAGATGCTGGGCAAGTATAGCACTCTGAAGTAGGACTGTCGCCACAGGTGTTTGGGCAATAAATGTAGCGTTTAGTACTACTGCTCCTAACCTCAATCCTAAACACAAACCCACTCTCTGTAACGACAAACCAAAATCCCTAATCCTGAACTCCAAACTCTAACTCTGAATACTTAAATGTAACCCAGAACCCTAACCCCAAACCCTTAACCTACACAAAAAACTCAAGGGGCACCCCTAAACATTCCATCATCTAAAACCCAAGGAAGGTCTATGATTGGATGAAAATAAGTCGACGATTGTCTACAATGTTGGCCATCGTAGTGGACTCAGCTTCTTTCCCCACATCCGCAAGGACAGAAACCACTTTCTACAAAATGCAGCACGTGAATAAAGTATGTTTTACAGCAAATGCATTTTACAGACTTGGAATTGCGTGGTAAGAAAACACATCGTTATTTGTTCAGAATGGTGCAGACTGCGCATCAGTGGAAGAAATTAAAAAGGGGGCCCCTGTAAACTCGGTACGCTACTCCACTGCAAGCTATTGCTTGTTATTGCTTTTGCAAATTATGCAGTTGCCTGCCACGGAGATTTCACATCTGGCGCATTTCCAGATTCGTCAAGATGCCCTGCAGCCCAGAGGAGCGCAGTCGAAACAGCTTCTTCGCCCTGCACACGCCCTGTCCGCTGTCAGGCGGCGTGGTGGTGGCGGCGGGGTGGAGGTGGTGGTGGCGGGGTGGTGGCGGCGTGGTGGTGGCGGCGGGGTGGAGGTGGTGGGTCTCACGTTGGCTCAACCCACTGCCGTTCCCAACCCCCAACCTCGTTCCGAAACCCCCACGTATATACAATCTGCACCTGTTCTGAACATACCCGTGTTTTAAACCTTGACATATACTTGAACATATTTCTTGTTTAACACCGCTCCTCTTATAAAAACCCAAATAGCTGTTATGTACAACTCTCTTGTCGACCCGTGTCTTTATTTTCGTCATGTCTTTGCCTCGCCCAGCGTCCATATCAGTGTTCCAGTTGTGTCACCGTCTCTCTCTCTCTCTCTCTGGCTGTCTTCGTGTCCCGTGTTAGCATCTGCCACTCCACTGTCTCTCGATATACGCGTCGCAGTGCTTGTCTCTGCCAGTCTCGAGGTCCCCTCTTCTCCCACCATCTGCTTGGGGCGCAAATTCCCGTTGAGACGCCTCCACGGCGCGGGGTCCGCACGCAATTTAGTCGGCGTCGCATTGCACGCCCATGATCCCTCTTGTTCTGACCCCACTACTATTTAAAGCCACACCATTCCCCCAGAATCAATATTCCAAACCTCTCCTGTATAAAAAGCCCTGTTATTATGAACCCTGTTCGTCTGACAACACGCGCGCCGATTTGCCATTGGGTCACCGCCCATGAGCGCCGCGCTGCCCTCGGGCGCTGCCCTCGGGTCTCAGGACCCGGCCAGGCTGATGCTCTGAGGTCTCAGGGCCCGGCCAGGCTGATGCTGAGGTCTCAGGACCCGGCTCTGCCTCTGGGCTCCGGGGCCCCCGAGGCGCGGACTTGGCCGAGGCCTCATCGCCCATTCTCTAGCAGCAGTCGACGCTTCACCTACCGTCCTCGTCCGCCATCTTGTTCCCATGGCAACGCCCCCCCGCGCCAATACCGCGCGCACCGATTGGCTCTCCGTCTCCAGGGGCGACGGCCACGACATGACGTCACGATAATTCCTCCCGCCCTATCGCCAGGGAGACGGCGCTTTCCCAGAGTGTACCCAAGAAGAAGAACAACCACAGTGTACCCAATCACAGCGTGTAACAAAGCAGCGACACGAAGTGTACCCCGGAAGTTGTAGAGGTAAAATAAGGGTATCCATATGGGAACACAACAGGAGGTGTCGCCAAATCGTCGTGCACAAACACAGAGTGTACCCAACACACACAGAGTGTACCCCACAAACACAGAGTGTACTCAACAAACACACAAACACAGAGTGTACCCAACACACACACAGTGTACCCCACAAACACAGAGTGTACCCAACACACACAGAGTGTACCCAACAAACACAGAGTGTACCCAACAAACACACAAACACAGAGTGTAGCCAACAAACACACAGAGTGTACCCAACAAACACACAGAGAGCGTACCCCACAAACACAGAGTGCACCCCACACACACAGAGTGTACCCAACACACACAGAGTGTACCCAACAAACACAAACACAGAGTGTACCCCACAAACACACAGAGAGTGTACCCCACAAACACAGAGTGTACCCAACACACACACAGAGTGTACCCAACACACACAAACACAGAGTGTACCCAACAAACACAAACACAGAGTGTACCCCACAAACACAGAGTGTACCCAACAAACACAAACACAGAGTGTACCCAACACACACACACAGAGTGTACCTAACAAGCACAGAGTGTACCCAACAAGCACAGAGTGTACCCAACAAGCACAGAGTGTACCCAACACACACAGAGTGTACCCAACAAACACAGAGTGTACCCAACAAACACAAACACTGAGTGTACCCAACACACACAGTGTGTACCCAACACACACAGTGTGTACCCAACACACACACAGAGTGTACCCAACACACACACACAGTGTGTACCCAACACACACAGAGTGTACCCAACAAGCACAGAGTGTACCCAACAAGCACAGAGTGTATCCAACACACACACACAGTGTACCCCACACACACACACAGTGTGTACCCCACACACACACAGAGTGTACCCAAGATGTCGTGCAGCAGAGAAACAGAACAAGCCCAGAGGGTCGATGCCCATGGTGAAACAGCTGTTGAGAGCAGTGGCCAGCAGCGTGAAATGCCGTGTGGGTAGCAGCAGAGGGCAGCAACACCCCTTGCCTTCTTCACACACCGGCCCAACTCGGTGAAGTATGGTCAAATAACCTGGACTTAATTTCATTGTGAATATTCTCCGGGTAGTTGTTAAACGGGAGTAGGTGGCGCGTGACTATTTTACACAACCAGAACGAGGGGATATACTTGATGCGGTGCGCCGGGCTGCAAAATATATGTCCGGGTCACCAACCCTGACAGATCCAGACTGAAATTAATCTTCGCAAGTAGCTCCCATGACCCACGTAGTGTGGAGAAGCCGTCTGCTTGGACTGGATTGACAAAGCGCTGTCCACAAACATTCACCCCCCCCCCCCCCCTTGAGCCGCTTTAAAAGGAAAAGCTTGTGAACCATTCCACTTGACAGGATTGACGAGGCAGCCCCGTGCTGTGCTCTGTCCCCCACAGCGTTTGCAGGGGTGGCACGGCGATGGATGCGAGGCTTGCCGGAGTGCGGAGGAGGTTCCCGCCGCTGCTTCTAGCTGCACGCGTGGCCACATCTGGACAAGAATGCCCCCATCGCTTGGCTTCATCCAGCCATGGGAAATAGGAAAAGAGGCCGATCTGAGGAGGGGATTCATGCTCGTGTGACTGCGGCAGAGAGCAGACAAACGGTCGGTTGTAAGAGCCAGTGGAAAACGTCCGCTCATCGAAGGCCATACGGGTTCATCTTCTTGGTTCTTTCGGTAAAGTCACGTAGAAGGGAAATAATAAAATAATAGAAATTAAACATAATAAAATACAATTCTCACGACGTTTCGGCCACAACGCAAGCAGCCGTCCTCAGGACTTTACCGAAAGAACCAAGAAGATGAATCCTTGCAGTCACGAAAGCTTTACATCGAAGGCCATGGGGGTTGTTTTGGCCACACTTCGGCGCAGTGGTCAGTGGGGGTTGCAGATAAGGGATGTACCCAGGACAGGTTCACATATCATCACTCGCGACTGACGTTAGTCGTGGCCGGGAATCAAATTCGGTCCTCGGAGTTCACGGCATCGTGCACCAACCACCAGGAAAGATGTCCGCACACCACATCCAGTATACCTCCTCGCTACGGCTGTGGCTACGACTACTCACGTGCTGCCTACTGCAGTCTACAGACACCCCAGACAATAGTCAGTGGGTGAAGAAGTCCTGGTCGTGAGTGTTCATGTACTGCACCCGCTTGGCCTGACACGTGCTCAAGCCTCATTGAGTGTCAAGCCTCTTGATCAAGAGGGTCCCACGTTGGCATATTTGAGCAATGCCGTGTGCAGGATTGTTTTTTGGCTCTGGCCCGGGGGATCAAGTGGTGTTCACTAAGGTTCTCTTTCCGCTTCATCAAGGATCGCTGAGCCAACAAAACCGCCCAGATCCCACAAATCACGGCAGCTCGCCACGCCGGCTGTGGGCGGGCGTGCGCCCTTGAGCGCAGGGGCAGGAGCTGATGCGTGATGGCAGCTTCACCACCATCGTCAGCACTACCTTCACTGTCACCGTCACCACCACAGCAATCATCATTATCATCATAATCACAATTGCTACCACTATCATTTCTATCGCGGTCATCTGCATTGCCACCACCATCATTTCCAGCTCCATCATCAGTATCACCATCATTTGTTCATGTTTTTGTTTGTTGTGGTTGCACCCGATTCAAGAGCCGCCTGGTTCACAGGGCTGTACGTAATAAATGAACTGAATGAAAGGACCTCCACAACCTTGTATCGTCTTAACCCGGTGTCCTTTCCCCCTCTGTCCTGTAGCCACATCACTTTACCTCTTCTAAAAATAACCTCCATTTATTTGTACGCTCGAGAATTCCAATATGTATCATACATTTTATTGATATGATAATCACGAGCCCCACCACCAGTCTCGCCACCAGGCCCGTTCGTCAATCCACTGCTGGATGAGGGCCTTCCCACACCGTGCGGGTCGTGGCAGTCGCCGGAACAAACTTCCCGTGCTGGTTGGTGAAGGTGGTGAGCAGAGACCTGGCAAGAGCAGCACAGCACAAGGGGTGCACTACCCACTGCTACCCACAACGCAGCAGCGCCGCGGCTGCCCTGCGACGACGCGTGCACGTGCTCGCCCATCCGAGCGCTGTCCAGGATCAGCACCGCTTCGCTTGCGAGCTGTGATGAGGCCGGGCGCGTTCCGGGTAATGAATTCAGATTCAAATGTGGGCTGACGGCGCCCATCATTGCGTGGTTACTGTGGGCACGGCCAGGGGATTGGCACTGCAGTTGGCGTCTTCGCCACGACCTTAAACGGGGAATGGCGGTGACAGGGTTAAGTCGAGGGGAAAGAGCCCTCGTGCACTCATGCAATACAATTGGCTGCTGCGGTATTTTTCAGAGCTGGCGGTGTTTTCGCGCGGCAGCCCACGGGGACAGTGCGGCCCCACTAAACACAGCGTTATTTTCGTGCAGTCGCCTTAATTGGTGTGCGCTAATTAATTATTAAATCAGAGTTGACAGGGTGTGAGGGTGAGGAATACGGCGAGGCATACGGGGGGTGGTTCCGATGAGTAATCGGACTGTGGGGGCGAGGGGCAGCGGCGTGGCGATCGAGTGCTGCGCAGGCGGTGCAACTGCGCCGAGAGCCACGGGTCGGAGGAGCCGAGGCGCGGGTCGTCGGACGGACAAGGGGGGGGAGTGGTGGGGAAATTGGACAGCGCCACTCCAATTCCTTGCTCCAGGAGCCGTGCACCAACCACGCAATTCCACTGGTGAGGGGTGAGGGTTAGGCGAGTAGTGTGAGAGGGTAAGTGGAGTTATTGGTGAGGAGTATGGTTAGGAATATGATGATACATTGGCTTAGGGTGATGAATGTGAGCCAGGCGTAGTCGTAAGGGTGAGGGGCAGGCTCAGCACAAGGACTCGGGGTGAGTTGTATTTAATTAAATATAGCCAGCAGGGTCAAGGGTTATGTGTTAAGGTTCGGGGTAAGAAGTGACAGTGAGTTTCGGTGTGAGGCGTAGGAGCATGATGCGGGTTAGGGTTAGTGGTTAGGGTAAGGAGTAGAAGGCAAGGGGGAGTCGAGTTTGTGGTGAGCATGATCACCGGTGACCGTGGGGTTTTAGGGCAGACGTGTACTACCAGGGTGAGGGTTATTTTGAGGGTTCAGGGTGATCGGCCAGGCTGTTCAATATCAGTGCTGCACCAGCCGTCTGTGCAGACAAGAAACTCATTCCATCAATCAGAGGCGGCAATGAGCCCTGTCGTGCCAGACCCAAGGCGCTGAATGTTGACTCGGAGATAAAACCCCAAAGCGGGCGTCTGTATCACTCGGCATTCCTCCACGCCAGGGTTAATGATTCTGCGAGTCGAGCAAGCAAAGTCCGATGACCCCGCATTCCTTCCGCCTCCACGGACGTTGGGAGGGCGGCACGGTGATCGGTGCCAATTCACCTCGGGGCCACGTCTCGTCACAAACCGCGAGTTGCGTCATCGCAGCAGCGGCAGGAGCGCAGCGAGGAAGTAACGCAACTCGCGTCGCAAGTCGGTGGCAAGATACTGTGGTGGGCCGGCGATATCCTTTCACAAGACACTTCGCGAAGATCCGACCGAAGAATTAACCTGTTTCTGTTGCTGCTGCTGCTGCCGGACCGCCCTCGACCGCGGTGGAAACGCACAACTCACGGGAGCAAATACTCAACCAGGACCGTGACTCAGAGCACAACCATGTCCACCATCGTCATCACCCCCTCGGGTGATGACGTTTTCTTTTACATGAATTCACTCATGACAGGAAAGGGTCAAATGTATCAACAATGCAGGACCTCCCTAAACATGAGTCTTGAGCCTCAGTAAGAGCCGGCATGAGTATGAGTATTGATTATTATTGTTGTTCTGGCCCCACTGTTGACTTGCCGCAGAGTGGCTCTCGTGCTGCTCATCCCGGAGCTCACAACGCCGGCTGCCTCGCTCTGGCCGCCCTCTCGACGCTGCGTGACGCCATCCCCATCCACTTCACAATTCTCCGCGTCCTTCTCCACGTCACATGTCCTCGTGTCGCTTTCTCCATTCCTCTCTGCGTCTCGCCATGGCTTTCGCACTCCGTGTGTATGGCGTTCAAGCAGCGGGCGACAGTGGTGTGTTGGATGTTGGAAGCCATTCCACGACACCCGGGGGTGGTAGCCGAGCGCGTCCGCTTGCTGCACCAGAGTGCGCGTGTGTTTGGCAGTCGCCGGCAATATATGTACCTGATGGTTTGCACCTCATCGCATTCGCAGTTTGGTGGAGTCCTTGATCTTCCATCAATATCCCACAACTTCTTCCTCCACGTGTTGCTGTTGGGACGCGGTTGACAGCGGTCTCCACTGTCATCGGGCAGCAGAGAGAAGCCAGAGCTGTCTCCGCGTCAGCTCTTCCGTAACGTTCTTGTTCGGGACACCGCTGTCGTGCCATTAACTGCCATCATGGCATCTTCGTGGCGTGTGCTATGCTGCAGAGGCGTCGCGTGGTTGGCATGAGCCTTCACCCGTGGACACCTGTGCAGTTGCACCACCTGCACACTCGATCGCCACGCCACTGCGCTCCACTGCCGTGCGCAAAGTACAGCCGACGTCCACGCGACTCCGACCTGGACGGCCGATGCCAGAACCGACCCGGCTGAAGGTCGTGGGCCATCGGACACGGGCCCAGGAATTACATCATCATCACGATCCATGGGCAGATAGTCCGTAGGTGTCCTCTGCACATTTCGTCATTCTTTCCACTTTTCTCTGTCAGGAATTACGTAACAAAATATTTAACTTGCGACGCGAACCCAACGTCCCGCATGGGCGAGCTTCACGCTCGCGTCAGCCAGCGCCGCCCGCGCCGCCGCAGCGGCGTGGCCGGTGGCACCGCGGTCCGGGCCCTTGAGCTGCACGCTCAGCCGGTTCCGCCGAGGCCCCCTCTGCTCACCGTTACCCGCTCGCCCCGAAGCCGCTTCTGACTGGCTCGAGGAATGGGAGGATTGCGTTTGTGAGTAGAGGCGAGTTTTCTGCTTGCGAGCTGCATTTTTTTAGCCGGATGAGGGCAGCTCACCGCGCAGCGCTTCGCTGAAGTGCGATGATTCAATGATTCCAGGATTCCACAACATCCCGCCGCGCGGATTATCACTCTTGTTCGCTTCCATCCTGCGCTTACCTTTCTGTCTGTGGAGCTTCTCATCATGCACAGAGCGGTACATGTTAGTTTATTGTGGCCCTGGGGCAGTGGCCACACTTGCCCAGGGACCATGGGGGGCTTGGGCACGCGAAGCCCAAGAGTTGTGATGCGCTGTCTCTGCAACTCCATTCCAGGTCGCACCGGGAATTTCTGGCACAATCAAATCTGTTCAGTAAAATGCGAGACAATATGAGCTTGCGTCGGCTCATGTCTGAGCTGGATTGATTCACCAATGGCTTGGAGGTGTTTTTGTACAGCACCCTCGGCGTTGGAGAAAAGCCAAAGACCTTGTATTCCAGTGACAAAGTCGCGTTTTTCCTCCGGCGATTCACGACTGCTGTTAAAAGTGCACGCTTGCGTGTGCAGAGCCGCGGCCACATTTGGCAGGAGCGCTCATCTCGGTCATAGAACCAAAAGTGCGGTTATCCGGTTGATCATGTTTCTCCCCCCATGCACCTCGTCACCCCAACCATTGTCGTAATATCAGCCGACTCATGTCGCACTTTTATCGCTCCCACCACCACCGCGATTACTGTTCTCGTGAACTTCACGCATTGTTACCTGTCCAGAGCCTGTTCTACCAGTTTTAACGGTTTCCTCTACAGTGCTTTCATACTGCACTCAACCTCCATTGATGGTGCAGGAAATAAAGTTCGTCTCTCTCATCTTCTCACACACGTCAACTTTAGAACTCCCTGCCATCGTCCTCCATCCCGAGTTCATACAACCCCGCCTAATTCAGAAGACGTGCTGGTTCATTGCTGGTCACTCAGCACTACAGCAATCGCAAACTGTTTAACATGGCTGCTAGAAGCATCTGCCATCCGCTGCCTGCAGCAAGACCCACACAGCGGTGACACTCGACAGCAGGACCGACATCACATCCTCACCCTGCAAGTTTCGTGAGTGAAAGGTTGGGCCGATCCAAGTACAAAACATTGGCTTGGGGTTCCCACAATGTAAATACAAACTCATATTGTATGCAATTTGATGCGGGGGGTGGGGGGCTATGGAGTTTGGGGCCCTAGTAAAGTTTAACCCCTTTAAACCCCTCCCCCCCCGAACTTTTCGTCAGGCATATCCAGACCCGACAACAAGCCACAACCATCAACCACGCTCTCGAAAAGTCTCAGCCAAGGCTTGGGTTTGTGTCCTGCAAGCAGCCCGAATTTAGCCTCGTCGACGATCTAGTTACAAGCCACCAGAGACGAACAATCAACCAGCACAGCAGGGTTTGCTCGTCTGGCTTCGTGCAATACACGTCATGCAACAAGCCCTAGAGATTCAGCGCCATGCCCTTTCACAGGAGATGCCACGCTCTCATTAAGGACACGCTCATGCCCTTAGGGAGCAAGCCTTGCCCCATGAAGTAGAATACACACGTGTGTGCTCGGTGCCCTTTAAGAACGGGGACACTTACATCACACTGGGCCACAGGGCTTGCATTTCTGACCGAATCGTTTATGCGTCGCCAGCCGACTAGAGTAGGTGACACGTGATAAATAGTAGCCACGGATATCGCGAGGTATACTCGATGTGGTATGCCGGGTGTAAAAATAAGCCCTGCCTGAACATCCTGTATCACTGTGTGGAAGACTGCTTTCCTACATCTGCAGGAATGTGCAACAGCGAGGAGGTACAGTATATTGTTAATTTTATTGAAATATTAAAACTCACAAAGCAAACTGGAGTAAGGCTGGTGGCGTTTGTGTGTGGGCTGTGTTGCATCCTGTGTGGTGATGGTGGGTTGGTGATGGTGGGTTGTTGATATCACTGTCACATTCCTGTACAGGTGAGAGACATTACGTATAGGTGAGGCATCACGTGCGGGTGAGAGAGGCACCAGGTACAGGATTGTGCGGGATTGACTGCCTGGCTGGGCGCACCTGCATCGTCCGGTGGCACCTTGCACCTCAAGCGAACAGCAGTGAGAATTCTAAGGAGCGAGGCGCATGCAGCAGCAGCAGCTGAATAGTCTGGCGGGGCTCCTCAAGGTGACGCCACGTGGACCAGGCGAGTCGGCAGCGTCTTCACGGCGGATAAAGGTGGCGAGGGCAATCGGCGAGACGAGCCTGAGTTGCGGGGTGAGAAGCTAGAAGTGGTGAATGGAGTGATGATACGGGTGAGGTGGAGGTGATGAGGGTGAGTGGTGGGTGAGTGGAGGTGAGGAAGAAAGTTTAGAGTGAGTAGGGGGGTGAGTTGTAAATTCAGTACAAGGTGGTGAGGAGAGGTGAGGGTGTGTGGGCTGATGAGTGTGCGTGGAGATGAGTGGGGAAGAGATGAGAGTGAGTGGAGAAAGATGGCGTTATGGTGATGGTTGTGATGGAGGCGCTGGGAGTCGTGACGAATGAGTAAAGAGAACGAATGAAAGGGCTGCGGTGAGAGGGAGTGAGGAAACAGGTGGCGTGGCAACGCGACGAGATGGAGACGAGTCGAGGGTATTACAGTACAATGAGATGGGTGAGCGCCAAGTTGAGAAGTCGTGCGAGCCGACCCCGATCCGCTACTCCGCAAAAACGTCTCCATCCGCGTGGAGTTCATGATCCACAAAATCCGGGCAGTGCTCCATGGCCACCGCGCTCCTTCACGATCCCATCTCTGGAGCTCCACGCGGCATCAGCTCTCTCGCCTCACGCCGCGCGTCCCGCTACCGCCAACGTCCCGTGGAGGCGATGGTTGCGGCGGCGTTGTTGCTGTTGTTGTTGCTGTTGGACGACGACGATGTGGATGACGCGGTGCTGGCGGGGGCCGTCATTTCGTGGAGGCATCGCCGCCTGCCGAGGCGCTCGAGTCTCCGCTTCTCCAGCACCAGGTCCTCCAGGCTGTGGAACTGCAGCGCGTGGCTCTCGGCGCCGCGCAGGTGAAGGCGCAGGGCGTAGGGGCCGCGGCCGTCGCTGCGGCGCTCGCTGCCGCTCTTGAACTGCCGCCTCCCGTAGCGGCACCAGGCGGCGAAGCACTCCGAGTTGGCCCAGCTCAGCAGCTGCCCGGCGGCGCCCACTTGCTCCACGGCGCAGCGCACGATCGCGTCCGCGGCCAGAGCCTCAAACTGGTAGCAGGAGGACACGAGGCGCACGGAGCGACCGCCGCCCGCCGCCTCCACCGTCTCGTTCCTCACCGCCTCATCCCTCAGGCTCACGCAGTAGCCGTCTCCCACGAACACCACCCACAGGGACACCTCGCCCGGCGCCGAGAACTCCAGCAGGTCCCCTGGCAGGCAGCGCGGCAGCAGTTCGGACAGGGCTCCCAGCGGCTCCACGGTGCCCCGCGAATTCCGTGGCCCCGCCAGGGTCTTGTTCAGGATGCACTCGTCAATGTGGAAGGCGGACAGCTCCACCTCGTCTGTGCTCAACTGTCCACCTCTCTCCTCTTCGTCCTCTTCTTCTCCTCCACTTGCTCGCCCGCGCGCCTTGGGGGGCCCCTTTCCTCCATGACCTTTACCACCATCGCCACCTCCTCCCGCACTTCGCCTTCCTCCGCCTCGTCCTCCATCTTTGCCGTCGTCGCCCTCGTCCTCCTCGTCGTCCGTGAAGATGTAGGCCACCGCGGAGCCGGGCACGCCGTCCCCGTCGTGGTTCGCCGCGTCCGCCGTGGGTACCTCGAGGTAGTGAGCGTGCGTGAGCCGCTCCACCTGGTTCCCCATCACCATGGCTCCCGGGCCCGGAGCTCGAGCCGCGGGGATGAAAGGGGCCCGGCGCAGGTGGAGTGGCGGGAGGAAGCGGGAGACGCACGAAGGTCGGCTCCGGTCACTCCCGCACCCCGTTGGCGTTAGAGAGGGGGTCCAGAGGGATCCCCGACTCGGCAGGGTCTCGCCTCAGCGGGGGGTCGCCTCAATCACGAACTTCGCGAGCCGAGGCAGGTACTGGCGAGAGAGTCTAATGGTGGAGGAGCGGCGCTCCCTCCAGGTACGACTCCTGCTTGCCTCTCCCCTCTCCCCTCCAGGTGAAGCCCCTCCCAGTGAAGCCCCCCCCCCCGGGCAGGCCCCGCCCCTCCGGGTGAGACTCCTCCTTGCCCCGCCCCTCCAGGTGAAGCCCCCCCCCCCCGGGCAGGCCCCGCCCCTCCGGGTGAGACTCCTCCTTGCCCCGCCCCTCCAGGTGAAGCCCCCCCCCCGGGCAGGCCCCGCCCCTCCGGGTGAGACTCCTCCTTGCCCCGCCCCTCCAGGTGAAGCCCCCCCCCCGGGCAGGCCCCGCCCCTCCGGGTGAGACTCCTCCTTGCCCCGCCCCTCCAGGTGAAGCCCCCCCCCCGGGCAGGCCCCGCCCCTCCGGGTGAGACTCCTCCTCTGTGCAGGAATATTCCTCTCGCCCGGCAGGTGAAGCCGCCACGTGCTGCAGGTGGAGAGGAGGAGGCGGCGCTGCTGCTGCTGCTGCTGCTGATGCGGCAGCTGCAGCTGCTGAGCGCCGCGAGTGGGAAGCGCTGCCCGGGTCTCGCGTTTCGCCTCGTCACGGAAAAATGCGCGGGCCCCCTCCGTGGTGGCGAGAGGGGAGGGAGTGGGACGGAGGGGGCGGGAGAGAGGAGGGGGAGGGGATATTTGGAGGATTCATTGGCGTGGCGGGAGGGAAGTCGTGGCACCTGGATTGCTCGAGTGCCGTGCGATGAGATGGAGTCCAGTGTTCTGTGGAACGCTGGGACTTCTATGCCGCGTGTGGTGCTCTTCTACATGGGGGTGTGTTCCCCGAGTTGTGATGTTGCGTTGACGTTGGGTGTGACCGATATGGGTGTGCTTTATCGGCTCTGATCATTCTCCAGACGATGTGTGCCGTCCAGCCTTGTGAGATGCCGTGTGCAAAGGGCCTGCGTTGTTCTCTGGACCCGGGCTGCTCGGGCAGAGCAGATGGCGCCTCTTGGTGCTCCCGTGTCTCTGTGTCCCTGTCCCGAGTGCACAAAGCTTCGGCGGTGCTGTGTGACAGCCTCTGGCTCTTGTCCAGACACCGTCTCCGCGACTCACAAATCGCTCAGCGATGCAATGAAACCCCTCATTGCTATTTCACTTGATATAAATGCAACGCAGTTTATAATGAAGTCATCGCGCATTCTCATTACACTGTAATTGCAAATGCGTTTAGTTATTTGTGGTTATGCACTAATGTCAACGCATAATCGAAATTATATTTTTTTTAAATCTATAAATGGTTAATCCCGTGCAAGATTCGCATCGGAGGTAAGACGCAACGCGCGCGCGAGTGTCGGCATGGAACGCGCCAGGCGACATCGTCCCCCCGATACAGACAGACGCGCGCATTGGCGAGGACCGCTGCCCCGGAAACAGCGCGAGGAGAAGAGACCGATTGAGCTCTCGTGACGTGGCAGCTGAATGACTTGGCGATTAACCTGCGATAGCAACACTCAGAGACCCAGTTCCAAACGTGCCTCTCTCTGTTCAACTGGGAAATGGGGCCTTGAGCCACTTTCCACATTGCTATGACAGAGGTCAATATAGTAAACGGTAGGAGGAATTTACCCCGACAATACAAATACTAGTTCCATCCTACCTGCCTATGTCAGCTGTTATTTCCGACTCTCTCTGTCTCTCTCTTAGATCTCCCATGCTCATATGCCCTTTGCATTGCACTCTCCTGCCCTTTGGATTGCACCCGTTGGGTTGCACTCCCTTGTCAAGGTGGACGCTCACCTGCTATCTTACAGTTACATGCTGATTTCTCACATTAACATCACGAGCCCCGACCACTTCTTTATGATCCTTGGGCTACACCCATTTCAAACCTTATAAAAGTCTGCCTCAGCAGCAAACCAATGCTTCCCCATCTGATGACGGACACTTGTGTTGCGCCCGAAACGTCGTGATTTATTTTATATCCACGTGACTTTACCGAAAGAACCAAAGAGTATGGATTACTGCAGTCACGAAAGCTTCACATCAAGATTAATACAAATACAGATTATGCAAAAGCTTTGCAAATGAGGGTATAAATCCACATTTGCATGGAATGGAGGTGAAAGTACAAAATTGTCATCTGTCCTTCTTGGCTTCTTGAAGTCATCTCTCACCAGGTCACGGGCAAGGAGGAGCAGTTGCAGTCACATAATCCATGCCACGGAGGAGTGCGACTTTTAGACATTTTCCTCTTTGTATCACAAGCACAGTTAATCCACGCGGATAATCGAGAGGACAACCTATGTATTGACATCTCACAAAGGGGTACTCATGTTATCAGCTCAGGAGGGATGGTCGAATTGACCCAGAGATTTTCTGCATCCTGGCCACTTCACTTGAATGCATGTGGTCGGGGGCTTAGGCGAGTTGAGTTGGGAGGGGGCGGAGGGCAAAGCTCTGTGGCGAGCGGCACAATTGGCACGGACGCTAACCGGGGCTGACAGACGCACATCTTGCCAGGGATCGCCCGCCTAATCAGGCGTGCCCGGAGCCCTCGGGACATCGGGGAAAAGGTCGTGCGCAAGGGGCATAGCCACGCCAGGGTTTTCACCGGATCGGCTGTAAGATTCAAACCCCTGAGGAGGTGGCCCCCGCGCCCAACACATCTTCACGCAGCCGTCGCGTCGGACACAAACAGGAGCCGCGTGTCGCTCGCCCAAACCTCTCGTATTTCCCGAGGCCCCACGAGTCTATGGGCCCTGTAGACGCAGGTTCTGCTGGCAGAGGCTGCTCCTACGCTCTGTAGCGACTCGGTCGAGTGATCTTGATTCCTACGGAAAATCGAGTTTTGCGGTGTAACGCACCGCGGCTTGTGCCGATGTCAACACACAAGCTCTGCTGATGTGAGCAGCAGCAGAAATTCACAAAGACAACAGATATGAAATTGCCCGACCCAAGCCCGTGTTCTGGGCTGGTACAAAAACTCACCGGCCACACACGTTGCTGTTCTGTCATAAAAACATGTACAGTATATTTTATTTTAACAGTGGCACACGATTCAGCCAACATTACACATTGTCTTCAAGTGTCCACATTTCATGCCATTACGTGTACTTACGCATAGACATGCGCATCCACCTTACAAAATAACTAACACTGGATCCATTTGTTATTCAAGATTAAACACATTCCGACCATATCACACGGCTGGCTCATTATAAATTCTGTTAACATTACATTAGATTACTCCACTTTTCGATAATAGCTAACTCGTCACACGCGAGCCAACGCCATTGCTCCCTGCTTCCTGGTACCAGGACAGCGACACCACCAGAGCTCTGGCATGAAGAACTTCGATTTGACAACTTCATTTGCCACGGGATCACTATCCCCGTCAGTCGTCTGGGCATCACTCGCTCCGCTTGAAGTCGTCAGCCCTGGAGCCACTGCTTGAGGAAGCTGGCGGCGGCGTTGAATGTGCCAAGCGCCGGCGGCGTGCGTCTGTGCGCCATCACGAGCGAGGCGGCCTCCATCCCATGCCCAGCGGCCTTCAGCTCTGCCGCCACCCCCTCCACGTCCCAGCTCTCTGTCTCCCAGTTGGACAGGAGGTGGCCAATCAGGTGCGGGTACAGGGCGGTGCGCAGGCAGGCAACGGCCAGGCCCCGTGTCAGCAGCAGGCCCAGCAGCTCGGGGTCGCAGTTGGAATGGTCGACCTTCGGAGGACACAATAGAGGGAGTGGAGTGTTGCACAGCGCACATGGCATGACACACAGGACATGCACTGAAAAACGTAGCTGGCAAAACATCAGAAAGAAGCATCCTGAAAAAAGTCAAAAGCAACATCCATGACTGCACGGTGCTCAGTATTGAACGGTCTGCAGTTGCGCTTGAGCTGGGCTACCAGATTATTTAAGGAATTGATCACTCTACCGATTATCGGTTTAATTGTTCGACTCATCGTGTAACACGGAAAAGATTGAGAATTTATTTCTCAGATTTGTTTCCAAGTGTGTCGCTGAATGGGATGTGATGGGCGGGGCTTCATGACAACATGGTCTTCATCAGTTGAGTCGCGCTCGATGTGGCTTGGAGGGGGTTTCCCACCTTCAGGAAGCAGGATGTCAGGATGGCTGCCATGTTTAGAGGAGGTCATGTAATCGACCACAAATAAAATTAGCCGATTACAATTTGTGGTCGATTGAGTAACTTAACCACGTCGCGGAGACCGTGACGGTGAAACGGCCTTGTCTTGCAAGTGCAGACGGACTCGTGGTCCGCTAAAGTTGTAATTGCGTAACTCGTAATAATTGTATGTATGTTGAACTTCGTACCATACGTAGCCAACTGTGCTCATCGGATTTGCAGGGGGGGAAGGACAACAAACTAAACACAAAGCAGTTCTAAAGAAATGAGTAATCACAATGTAATTGCGATTTGGGCCATCAATGTTGCTGTTATTAATATAACCGATGATTTGAGGCTGGGGTGGCTGGGCCAGCCACGCGCACCTCAGTGATCGCGGTGGTAATGAGGCCGATCGCGCGCTCGTGCAGCTGCGAATCTCCGCCGTCCAACGCGAGCTTCAGCGCCGGCAGCAACAGGGAGCGCTCCAGCAGCAGATCCAGCAGTTGCTCCACGCACTGCAGCCAGGTGCACACACACACACAAGAGGCAGACACACACAGGGGCAGACACACACACACAAGGTGCACACACACACAAGGGGGAGACACACACAGCAGCACACACACACATAAGGTGCACACACACACACAGCAGCACACACACACACAAGGTGCACACACACACAGCAGCACACACACACACAAGGGGCACACACACACACAAGGGGGAGACACACACACAAGGGGGAGACACACACAAGGGGGAGACACACACAAGGGGGAGACACACACAAGAGGCACACACACAAGAGGCAGACACGCACACACAAGGGGGAGACACACACACACAAGAGGCAGACACACACACAAGAGGCAGACACACACAAGAAGCAGACACACACACAAGGGGGAGACACACACACAAGGGGCACACGCACACACAAGAGGCAGACACACACACAAGGGGGAGACACGCACACACAAGAGGCA